CCGGGTAGACTGCGGCGAGGATAGTAATTATCAAATAACAAAGAGAGAGGAGAGCGGAGCTCGTTATCAATATCTTCTTCCGGCCAATTCGATCGACGAAGAACAGAGACGCCAGGCAAGCCACGGGCGCGACAGTTCCGTAAAGACCACTGACAAGAAGCTGCTCATTCTGATCAAACTGGAGGGTCGCGTATATTGCTGTTTGGTAGTACTGAACAAACGATATGCCCGATAACATAGCAGCTGCCCATACGAACGATCCCACGAAAAGGCGCTTTCGGAATGCCGGAGTCTTCAAAAGGTCCGCCCATGATAAGCGACCTTGGGCCTTCCTCTCCTCTTCGATATTTACTTGGATAATGGTGAACTCGGCGTCAACCCACGTATCGTTGGACCCGTCGTAGTGGTAGTTGCGGAAAGCTTGCTTTGCTTCTTTGTGGCGGCCCTTTAGACATAGCCATCTTGGGGATTCACTGATGAATAAAACTCCGAGGCCAAGTAGAACAGCTGGGACGCCTTGGATAGCAAATCCCAGTCTCCATTGGTTGGGATTGTTCCATTTACCTTCGCCAACTCCGGTCCATAATGCAACGAAAAATCCCCAAGCAACCACTTAACTCCCGTTAGCAAAATGGTAATACTTGTTTCTCAGGATTCTGCGTCTTACTCATCTGATTCGCTGCTGTGATCTTCGCGCGCTCGTGTGTCTGTCGATCACTAAGTCAGTGCACCCCTGAGACATCCCCTGCGATATATGTACCTTTGCAATTTCGGCACCGAAAACGGGAGCCACGCCTGTAACTGTTCCAACAGCAAACCCAACTAAGAGGCGGCCCATAATGACTGGATATCAATATATTAGGGTCATTCCATATCAATTCAGTTTCCTCTACACTCACGCATAGCGACGTGGGCAGCTCCAGCCATGAGCGCCGAACCGATCACACCCCAGATGCATCCGAACGCTATGGCCTTGCGTCGGCCAAACCTGTCGCTGGTAAAACCAACCGAAGCACTGCCAAGCCATGCTGTAGCCACATATCAGTATAAGGGAAACACGAAAAAGACACCAGTGTGAATCACCTCCGGCTTGATAAACTGAGACGATTGCTCCACGGGTGGCAGCATCGGGCTGCCCGAAGTAAACCAGGAAGGACTTCAGCGCCAAACTCGGCGTAATGATTCCCGAATCGCTTGGGTTCCGTTAGCGTTGAGTGGATAAAGCTTCATCGCGAGCATGGGCACTTACTAGCCATAGAGAAAGCCACCTATTCCGAGGAATAGAGAAGTCAGAAATGGCTTGCTTAGTAGCGGCTGATTCTTCATTGTTACTACGGAGCAAGATGAGGAATATCGAAGGTGCACTGAGGCCCTTTGGTCAGATTAGAGGACTCACATGGGTTTAAGTATCACCGCATCAACTTGAGGATAGGACATCTAGGCTTGAAGAAATCCGTGGTTAGTATCCGACTACTTGGTTCATGGGATCCGGGGATGGGTCCGCCAAGGGCCCAGGGGCGGGGTATACTGTACGAATCAGGTTGTTTTGTAGCGTAGACTACCCCTATTAAGTTGTAGTTGCTCATCTTTGAGCCTCTAACCTGGTCGTCTCTCGTTTCGAGTTGCCTCTCCAGTCTTTCTCGTCCGAGTTAATATTACGAAACTGGTTACATGGAGAGGCAACTTTGGAAATTTTATTTTATAAGCTTTCTACCCTCTTGCCTAACCTAGGCAAGCATTAACACTTAGTTATACTTATCTTCATAACTTTGAATATTCTCGTAAGGTAAGTGGGCGCGAGTCTCTGCCGTGATGTGTGCCTATCAAATAGGATAGATTACTAAACCAAATACAGTTCCTATTAGCGAGGGTCTAGTCTTCATATCCGCAAAACACATGGGCGTCAAATTTGGGGAAATATCCACATAGGCTTCCCCGCCAAGGTCGGCAGTTTGAATAGAGACAACTAGCGCAGGAGGATTCTCGGTAGCCCGTGTTGGTATTTCTACGAGGGGCACCCTCTGCAGATTAACTCATTTCTTTCTACGTCGAGAGTCGCAAATTCGAAGGCTATGGGTAGTCTCTGAGCCTCGACGCCAAAATGTACGCAACAATTCTTGCCAGTATAGGCTTTGCTGTGTCGCTTTCTTACTTTAGCCTGATATTCCCGAGAGTAAGTAGCTTATCACGAGAAGTTTCAAGGGGACATTTAGCTAACGTGATTCGAATAGCTGTTGCAAGAATGGAAAATTTATGCGCATCGTAAAGAGCTTCCGCCAGGCCCGAAGGTCATCAAATCTGGCCTTCGAAAGCCATGGCTGTGGTTTCGGGAACTAAATAAAGAGTATGGTGATGTAGTCTACCTCCAGATGGGGCCAACGCCCACTATCATACTCGGTTCAGCTCAGGCGGCATGGGATCTCTTAGAGAAACGCGGAGCAAAATATTCTTCTCGACCCCGCTTCATTATGGGCGGTGAACTTCTGTCAGGGGGAATGAGAGGCCTTATGGCACCATATGGATCTTTCTGGCGGCGCTGGCGCAAACTGTTACATAGCGGGTTTATGAATCGTCAAAGTTTAACTTATCGACCTATCCAGAGCTTAGAGTCTAAAGTTCTTATGCACGACTTGCTCCAAACCCCTAAGGCCTTCCGAAAGCATCTTGAGCGTTATGCTGCTTCGGTTATTGTTACGGTCACATACGGACGAAGAGTCGAAAATGTTGATACCGATATTGTTGTGCGGCGCAATGGTGAGTCAATGGACCGCCTAACACAAGTCAAGTAGGTTTCTAGCCCGTTCTTTAGTACTATTACTTACATTTTACAGTATTCCCGGTAAATATAAGGTGGAGCGATACCCAGCTCTCAAATACATACCTAGCATATTTGCACCATGGAAGGCCCAGGTTCTTAAGCAACGGCAAAAAGACATCCAACTATACACGGAACTTATGGCCGAAGTTAAAGATAGGAATGATAAAGGTACTTTGCCTACATGTTTTGCCAAACACCTGCTAGAGGAACAAGAGAACCTTGGAATGTCGGATCTGGAAATTGCATACGCTGCAGGCTCTCCATTTGGTGCGGGAGTAGAGACAGTAAGTCCACCATGTTCCTCTAAAGGTTGTGAAAGGTACTATGCTCATGTAGGATGATGTAGTCCGCAGGTTCACTCGCCAGCTTTCTCCTCGCTTGTGTCAAGTTCGGTCCGCAGTTTATTCCTAGGGCACAAGAGGAACTCGACAAGGTAGTAGGAAATAGCAGGCTTCCAACATTCGAAGACTTACCCCAATTACCATACGTTAGAGCGGTTGCTTCTGAGACGCTACGATGGAGACCAGTAGCTGTGCTAGGAGGTACGCCACATGCCAGTACCGCTGATGATGTGTATAAGGGAATGTTTATTCCTAAGGGAAGCACGATCATTGCACCCCTATGGAGTAGTAAGTGTACCGGAGATTCTATTGCGTATAATCACATTAATACTAAGACTGGATCCTTAGTTCACCTAAACGAGTCCGATTTCCCCGAGCCAAACGAATTCCAACCCGAACGATTTATGGAAGAGCGTGAGTATCCTGGCACATTTGGTCATAGTGCATTTGGTTGGGGAAGAAGAATCTGTCCTGGCATGCACTTAGGTTCTGCGTCTGTGGAACTCAATATCGCGCGAATACTATGGGCTTTCAAAGTCAGTCCCGCAAAAGATGCAAACGGAGACGACATCGATGTGGACATGTAAGCATTATCTAGGTACTCACATTACATCTATCACATACTCATAACTCTTCAGATTCGCCTTCTCGGATGGCTTCAACTCCAGTCCGCTTCCATTCCCTTGTTCGATACAACCGCGATCCCACAACCATGCGGAGGTAATTGAGCAAGAGTTTCAAGATGCCACAGAATCCCTGAAAACATATACCGCGGTTAACAGCAAGGTATCTTGACGAGACGTGGGTCATCCACCTCTCATCATGCTTCGGGAGAAGTACAGAAGATATAAATATAATTGGCTATAGTGCTTACTCTTAGACTAGACGAGGCGTATCTACTAAGCACGGGTTTCGATGATTGGAGAATCGTGAATGGTATTTCAAACCCTAGGATTGTGGAGTAACTAGACCAATTGAAAATCTCATGCTCATATTTAGACTTAATAGAACATGATAAGATCAAGTACTTCATTCTTCTCCTTGCCTCGTCATAACTTACTTCTTATATATAAAAATTCATATAGAATAGGGGTAGCAAGTATATGAGAAAGTTGATGTGCAACTGATACACGGTTCCGATGAGAATTGGGATGTTCTAATAAGTTGAGATTCGGGGTAACATTACGATGCGGTGTTTAGTAATATCCGACACACTCACACTCAAGTGTATCTATCCTTCTTATCTGAGCTCATATAATATGAATATATAAATATGGGATTTGAAGGTAAAAGGATTATGAGTGAGATTATACTCATACCCACAACTGCGGGTAATCGGCGAACTGGGATCTGAAAAAAATATGTTTGAGTGAAGCTGCTGAAGTGATGGGGCGTCTTGTTTATTAAACGATCTATCATTTAGTACCAGCTAACCCTAAGGCTGGTCATTGGCTATCTGCTTACATAGAGTCGCATAAGAAAATGTGACATCCGGTCTCTATTCGGTCAAGCTTGAGTGTCCGCATCATGTCACCCAATTAATAAACTAAATCGGACTTAAGCTCAGCTCTCAAGACTTATCATACCCGCCATAGATATATTAATATACCTACTGAACAAAAACTCAACGAAAACTCTACTTAGCTGTGAATATATAGACGTTATCTATATTCGCATGCATTCGATGATCTATTAAAAGAATCATAGTTTCGCTAGAGCTTTGAAGAATGCTAAAAATTGATATTCCACGGCAATATGACCCGTCTTTTAACAACGTAGCCAAGGGCGGGAGGGCCGCCCACTGCCAAGCTTCTCCATTCCAAAATGAGATGCGATTGCGCCTTTGCTGGGACGACCCAAGCTTTCAAAAGCTTATGTAGTATTCGACTTTATATATCCTTGTCTGACCTAAAATTCAGCTTCGCCAGATTTGGACTTGATAATGACTTATGCTGACACCATAAAGAATATCTTGACGAATCATATTCTAACGCAAGTCTTCTAGAAATTCTATATCCTATCTTACGTAAGAGTTGATCGGTAATTTGGCTGGGGGTTCCACCACCTTGAGTTCACTCGTCCATTACCCCTGGCGGTTTTGAGGGTTCCCTCATGTTGTTTTCGTTTTTCTTTCGACCCCTCGGGCCCCGAGCGCTCGATGCTGTCTGAACTGCCTGCTCTCAATTTCATCTACAGTTCGGTCCATCGAGCGTACCTTAAGGATACGGCGTGTCAAAGCTCTATCCTGCCTCTGTCTTATACATACCAACCAAATCTAAAGCTTGGACTTCAGCGGGTCGTTTCCATCCTCATCCGAGATAGGTTTCGCAATTGCTGGCGACAGCAATCGGTTGCGTCCCTTGGGGTGGGAGCAACGCATACAATATGCGCTCTCTTACGAACTTGCTGAACATTGCGTGCGCTACCCCACCACCTACATTAGCACGGGATGACTCTCGTCCCAAGGAAAGTAAGAATATTTTCATTAATTATATTCAACTTCCGGAGTAGCATCCATATTTATTGGTTGGCTTAGAGCTTGCCGAAAGATCGGTATCCTTCCAATACTCTTGAAATTATATAATACCCTCATCTAAACTATCTGTTACCTAAGTTAACATGATTCGGAATAGATGTCGTCCTCGCAGATTGTACTGGGTCACAGAACTCAAGTCAATTATCATCCGAAGTCTCATACTTCAATCAACTTCCAAATAACCAGCCAAGTGACATCGCACCCGTAACTGATGGGCAATACCGCGATTGGGCAAATACGACAACGTCGGCATACTTCACCGATACTGGGACGACATTCAAAGCTGTATTAGGAGAGCGTGGTAACGCAGGCGACTACGCAGGAATAGGAAACAACGGTTACGCGAACTTCTCGTGTTGGCAAATGGAGTCAACGTACTTGTATAGTCATGACGGCAAAAATTGTTTTGCGACATACGAGTGCAATCACCTGAGTGAGTTCATTTCCTTCACTTTAGGCGTTTCATTATATATACCCTCTGTTTTCGCTTTGAGAAATATAATAACTAGCTACTTTTGAACGTACTAGTTACCCTTGGTGGGTTAAGATAGCATAATCTGATAAACCCCTGTGCCCCTTTACGTGCCGTACTAACCCAGGGACGTTTAGCATCCCCAATTCCTATTCCGTCAGCCTCACCTCCCGCGGCTACAACATCATCGACAGCAACATCGACTCCAGTAGCTAGCTCAGGCCTGTCAGTAGGCGCTATAGTTGGTCTCAGTATCGGAGTAGCCGCTGGGGCAATACTAATCGCAGCCGTGGTTGGTTTCTTGATATGGCGATATCGACGCTTGAAGAAACAAAGTGAAGCCGCTACTAGCCCCCAAGATCCAAGACTGGAGGCCGGTCAAACCGGAACACCAAAAGGACCACCACTAACGAATACAATATGGCAGGGGCCAGGAGCGAGGGAGTTGGAAGCACCACAAGTTTACCATGAGCTACATAATATTAATCGCCCCGTCGAGATTCAAAGTGCCCTTGTAAGAAGCGAGTTGGATGGATCTAATACAAGGGTAGAGCTTCATTCTCATGACTTACCTCCTCGATATGAATTCGGGAATCCGATATCTCCTGAAGCTTACGGATGCAACAAAGGGCCTGTTTATCACGTCAATGGTGTAGATGGATAGGACGAATTTCTTGGATGGTGTTAAAAGGGGTCACTATTCTAGGAAATGATTACTTTCAACGGGCACACTGTTCTTCCACGAGCACGGGATTCTAGGCTAAGCTAAAATAATTTCGCAGAGGAACTCACAGAGATCAGCTTAGAGTTTACCATGGAAGGTTGAGGGAGACTGAATGGAGTATGCACTCCTATCAGCGGTCTTCATCAAAATATTCCATGGGTCCTAAATTGATACAACCAATCTGGCTGGTCCTATATTGGGAGCGGGGATTTTGGACATGCACCGCAAGAATGCCAACATATTCCTCAGTTAGTCAATGAGCCATGACTTAGGGGAAGGAGCTATGAAATGTACATAGAAACGATTTCATGAGAATTGAATCGAGAAAGATCTCCAAACAAGTCCAAAGGCCCTTACTCATGCCGTGTTACGCAAACCTTGGTTATCCATACCCCTTTTTTTATTAGTACCTGATATGCTCTGGTCCAACTCTATTACTTTCATCGCTCTCTCTACTACTCTTGTTGGGACATGTCGAAACTTTCGGTGAAGCCCCTAGGAACAAATTAACTATGCACATCTAATCTCCGCTGATATGACCATGTGACACTTAGATGATATTCCGCCAGATCTGACTCAATCATAACAGCAGCTGAATTGTTGCACCGCATGCCGCTTACCTGCGCTCATGTATGTAGTCACGCTCTTATGTACGTGCTAGAAGCGAGTTACTACGCGGCCATAAACGAGCTGACACGACCTATTTGTTTGTAGTGGCTTTCCTGTGGTCTCTAATTTCCGGTCCTGGTGGCGTATATATCTGTGCGGACGCATACTTCTAGCTATATGTCATGCAAGTGACTAGAAAGAGGAAGTCGGGGATATGTCTAACTGGCGCGAAGCATATTAATTATGGATATCCCACGGTCCCCTTTTCCTTTTGGTGGAGTAAGACCAATATCCCCATTCTCGTTACGCAGATAATCTAAAATTGGTCTTCGATAGTGATTATGTTTTCTCCGGATGGAACTGTTAAGGCTCATGGGGTTACAGTCTACTATGGGAGCGTAGCATTAGCTAAGGGATGCCGAGAAAGATCGAGAAAAGGATAATATGAAGCAGAATTTCGTTTAATACCTACGAGAGCGGTATGTATAAAAGCACAGTTCATTTGGATTGTTATCTAAGGTTACCGCGATGTAAGCGCAATTATTATGTGTAGAATAGTTTGATTCCACACAACCTTTCTTTTTCTTCCCCCGAATAGGAACGAAGAAAATCTTCTAGAAATAGTCATTCTTTTTTACTATTAGAAGTATATTTATTATCTTATCTTGATGTTATTCTAGTTGTATTAGTCAGACTCGTAACCGTAAATAAGTATTTTCACATAGTTCATGATTTTGTTACCTTAAAGGTAATTTTGCTTGCTGTTTCCAATATTTACCCTCCTATTCACCTAGAAGGGTATTGTTCTGCCCCTGTTCCGTTAGAAGAGAGTATATAGATATCTGGTATGAATCATATGGATATTCCGTTTCTCCTATTAAGTCAATCAAATATAGGTAGCTGGTAAGAGATAGATAATTTCAAAGATGATTATAAGCCTTAACACTTCAAGAGAAATAAAGTTCACGAGGACAGACGATAATTTAGCACTTGCAATACCCCAGAGAAGCTTTCCCTTCAGAGCATTGGGTCAAGGGATATACTCACAAATATTGGAACGGGAACTCTTAGGTGGTTGACTGATGATTGTATGGTCTGGGAACTAACGTACGGCAAACTCCCAAGTACTATCCTAGGGTAACCGAGTTTGAGCTGAAATAATCGTCCTCTGGTGAGAGTTGTTGAAACGGGATACGTTCATTGTGAGAGGCTAGGGCTTGTCGCCGAGGGAAGGTGCTTGTTTGCGCGGTCGTAGCCCAGCGTACGAATCGTATGCGATCTACTGGGTCTCATTAAAATTTCTTGCGCTGTTGTTCTGCCAGGATTGAACCAGGTATGATCTTGTGGGGGGTTACCACTGGCGGCAGATTAGACCGAGGATATTGGGAAGGATATCTGCCCCAAACCCATAGCTGGGGACTTCTTCCCCCGACGACACCGCGTTCCGAGTGTTCCATAGGCCGAGTTACTACGTTGTGTAAGTCATTGTCCTCGCAGATGAGGTAAATGTGACCGTGGACTTTGCAGTTGTCTTCCCTGTCGCCCATTCGCAAGGTGACGTGAAAATCATCTGGGTTCATGACGCGCCGACCTGCAGTGACCGCTATAGTGCTCGTTGAATGAGCATCGGATCTGTGTATCTAATTAATAACTTTTACTCTTAATCACGTAAAGGTTCACTTACTGAAGCCACGCGTAACTTAGGCCAAATCTTGCAGTTTCTTGCCTGACAACTCTCTCGATGGCCAATAGCTTCTCTTCGTCTTGTTCTGCAGTTTCTACAAGCCAAATGACCTAATAATAATGGTTAGTTACCTACCGTTACAAGATTTTGAGTGAATTTGGACTTACCATTGGGTCAAATACGGTTCCCGAACCAGTAAACCTTTCAGAACTCTCGAGTCTCCTTTTGAATTCTACATTATGAGGAGCACCGGGGCCGAGTGGCATTCCCGGAACCCAGATGATGCCTTCCTTAGCCTTAGGTCGATGATGAGACATTGTTAATGGGTATCTGTAAGGATGAAATAACCTCTAACTGATGTGATGTTATGGTAACTACGGATCGTCTGAATTCACTCCAATACTGAGAGAAGTTTAATTTATATCCAATTATTTATCTATTTCAAAGAGTACACAAGATGCATAGACACAAAGGAAGACGAACAAAACAAACAATCGAAACCTGAACAATGCATATTGACAGTAAAAAAATCATGACCGTGGAGGTTTTTGTTTGCTCTGTTGTTCGGTCACGACAATAAAGGTCATACAGTCAGGGGTTACTAAGGCACATATGCTATATTTACCTGACGTCGAACCACATCTTGATTGTCTACATACTGCCGGGTCGTGAAAATGTTACAGCTGGGGTGTTAAGAAATTTTCACTAGATAATTACCTAGATTACCTAGGTAGGTAAACTTAGATTTATGTGGGTAGATGACATTTATATCAGTGACAGTTGATATAATATTCATGGAGTTGTCTGGGAAAGCCAGAAAACCCCCTGAGTCAGGTCCCGAATCAGGCCCTTCCAGTACTGTATGATAGTCCCTTAAAAGGTGTTGTAGGGATATTCTGGGTCCCTAGAATGTTATCATAAATAATATTAGCTTTTAGTTTCGGTCTCGAAAATTTATTAATGCTATTATAGAAGTAGTTTGGCTTATCCATGCACGACGATGATGATGATGATGATAACGTTAACATCTATTAGTTGCTATAAGTTAGGTAGGTAGCTATAGAGGGCGCATATATGGCGCTTTAGACGTTTAGAGTACTTATTTTGAGGGAGATAGAGCTAGAATTCGCCTGATATGAAAGATCTTCCACTTCCTGCCTATAGAATTCCTAGCCCCTACTTGCCCATAGCATTACTCTACCTGGTTAGCACCGGCGCCAGGTAGCCGACTTTGATCAGGGGAAAACCCGTCGAATACACTTTCTTATAACGGAGATGGAATCACTCTTAGCGCCCGGCAGTGCCCAAGGAAGATTGTCCACGCACGAAAGAGCAGCAAATCACTACATTAGGGGGGGGGGGGGATTGGGGGAGCTTTCCTAATGTATAATTAAGGAGTCACATGATGAAAGATAGGAGCGAGTTTAGAGAAACAATCTTTTTGGATATATAAACGTATATAAACATATATAAACAGCCTAGACTACCTTCCAACGGCCACCCCTAACTACCTCCTGACTAAGAAAAATAACGATATTTGTCCTTGGTATTTAAATAAACAGTGAAATTACCTATGACAACTCTATAGAAGTTCCACGGCAATATGGATATAAAGCAATTGATAAGTATCTTTATTGTAAGGTACCTAACATATAATATACCTCACTCCTTATTAGGATGGGGCTAGTTAGGTCCTTACCTAGGTACCTACAGGTAAGTAGAATGAACCATCTTAATGAATTCGTAAATATGTCGACAATGTAGGGCTAAGCCTACGACCTAATTCAAGTTCCTACCAAATCTAATCCCTAAGTCTCCGAACAAGAACTAACACGCCAACAAAACTGACGACGACGGCTGATGATACCATCATAATTTTGCGGGCCGATATGTTACCGTTTCTTGTACACTTTCTGGTAGTGCCCATTCCATTCCCACTGATCCAAGGATGTGACATGACTGCTTCAGTGTTGATACGTTCAGCAGGATCATATTTTATCAGCTTTCTCAGAAGATCGGCTAGACCTAACACATCTTCTTTAGGATATCGATACTTGATGGGTTCTGGTTGTTGGCCTGGGATTATTCTTTTGTATCTTTTCCTCTCTCGTCCTAGTGTCGCTTCAAATGTATCTGTATTTGACTTGGTGGATTTATTCGAATCTGGTGTACCCGGTCGTGATCCCCTTTTAGACGGGGTGGTTGGATTATCTGATTGAGATGTAGGGTTACTAATGCCCAGCCCTGATGCTCCTGGAATACCACGAAGCATTTCCACGTACGTCGTTCGGTATTTCTGAGGTAATGGCCCCAAGTATGATTCGATTTGCCGAACAGTGTTGCTAAGATCAGAACCGTAAAAATCTTTGAATAACGGTGAACCTGTCCGAACTTCGTAGAGGGTACATGCTAACGCCCATAGATCGCTATGAAATCCTAGGATCCCAGTACCTTGAAACATGACTTCTGGTGCTGCATAGAGGTTTGGAATTCCTGTTGACCTAGGGGGATCCTGGACAAAGAACGATTCGCCAAAATCGACGATTGCGATGGAGTTTGTTGTTAATTTCTCGCACCAGAACTCATCCGGAGGTATCACGCAATACTCAGGAGCACTTGGCGTTAAAGGTTGACCTGAGATTGTCTCGACATATGCACATTCTGGCTCTCCCATGATTTCTAGAAGTTGATCAACATCGAGGTCATCGATACCTTCGATTTTCATAAGGATATTGCCTGGTTTGAAGTCGCCGTGACAAATACCGTTACGATGGAGGAAATGCATAGACTCTGTGATTTGGCGACATACATTTCTCGCATTTACATTAGTCTGGCTTTCGTAATCTTTTTGCGACAGGCGCCAGTTCGAAATGCTCCAGCCAAGAACTGGCATCACGAAGCAAGAATGGTGACCGTTAGGGCCCTTGAGCCAAAATTGTTCTAAAGGGATTGATATGTGCTTTTCCTCAAGTTCTTCCGGGGCGTATTGCTCTCGTAGGTAGTCGAATATCTTTTCTTCGGTACCATTAGATGACTGATCGGCAGTCTTTATCTTGACCGCCCTCCATCTTTTTAGGTTAATGTCGCGGCAGAGCCAAACGATTCCAAAACTTCCACTGCCGAGCTTGTGGACAACTTCGAAACGGCCATCAAGGATATCGCCAATGTGAACAGGGTGATATCCGCCCTTGTTGTACATCTGAACATCTTCCAAATTTGGCATGCCGTCGAAAGGCTGGTACTTGATTACTTCGTCGCTAAGTCCAGTATCGAGTGTGACGTAGGGAAGTTTTTTGGCCTCAAGGAGGCATGTGGTTGTTTGAGAGACTGTCGACATGTTGCAGTGCAGGCTTTCGCGCAAAGGTAGAGTAGTCACTTGATCCAAGGCAGAAATCTTTCGCTTAGAGGCTGGAAAGAAAAGTATCGGGTTGGTAATGATGGATGGGTGAGTTATATTGTGATTTGGGGAAGTTGAACAGCGACGTTGTTGGAAAAGAAAAGTTGCAATGAAGAAAGCGCTAGTTCCGGGATGGAATTGTCTTTGTATTTATGGTAGAGGCTAAAAGGTAGGTGGATAATGCGTGACAAAGATTCAGAGTTGTCACAACGCGATTGTTGGAAATGTTTTGATAGAAATCCCCACATATTTATGGTGTAGTTAGTTAGATCAGGTACCTTAGGTGTGGTGAATCGCTTGTTCCAAGGTTGTTTTTGGTGCACCTTACAAGTAGGAGGTACCTAGGTACATAACTAAACAAACAGGCAGTTGCCACCCAGAGCTATACTCAATTATCAATGCACTGTGCATGTGTGTGGAACTGTGCCGTAGATGTCTAAGAAAGCAAACAATACATCTCAGGAGGTAGGCACTCGGCTAAGTAATTGATTTTATAAAATGCAACTCTCAGGTCAGGTACCTTAGGTACTTAGGTACGTAAATAAGGGTGAAAGCATCATCATGTGATTCCTAGAATAGTGGTGACATCGTTGATTATTTAGGATTACAGGATTAGGATCTAGCTATGTTTATATATGCATAGAATGCAGGCAGCAATTGCCTGAATCATTGTTGCCTGGGATCCACAATCATAGATTAAAGCTTTAATAATAAACGTACCTACCTACATGAGTACCAATTGATATCATAGACTAAGCCCTTATCATAGAGGTAGGTAGAGGTAGGTAGATAGCCATACGGAAGTGATATTAAATTTGTTGTAACAGCAAACGGGCTTCATCATTTACATCAACGCGAATAAATGATTATCCGTTTAATAATGCATGGTATATAATAACTTCTCATCTTAATTCTTACCTAAGGTATGGAGAGTAATTCCTGAAATCTTGACGGTCAAAAAATGTGCTAGAATGCTGAAGGTGTATAGAGTTGACCTCTGCGGTTCTGAAGTTGATGCTGATTGGCTGAAGTTGACACGTGCAACCCAAATGTACCTAATCTACCAATATCTCCTTTTACATTTCATCCTTTAGCTTAAACGATCCAGACATACCCCGAGAAATATCTCTGTCTCTCACCACAGTGGCAATTACAACATCTTCAAGACTCGATTTACCATGGGTTTAGATACCATATTTTTAGTAACTGCCTTGGATGTCGATGATAATTAGCACTGTTAAAAATAAAAAGCCTCTTTCAGTTGCTATGGATCTACCTATAACACTTGCAAGTTAAGTGATGGATTATCATGATCCATAGTGTCAACTAAACATCCCCTCAGGTCGAGACATGATCACCTGAATGTAAAAAAAAATATCACAGATACGGTGGTTTAATAATTGAAGTCACAAGTATTAAACTCTAGACTATGAGGTCAAAAGTGACATATTGCTGTTCTCCATAAGACAGGCTGGGGATTGAGTGTTTTTGGCTGTGGAAACGGAGTAATATATTTCTTATAATACGATAACCTTAGTCGTTGATGACAGTGTGCAACTTTTCTTTTTACACCGTGGGCTTAAAGATGGCAATTAGCATACCCCATACGAATCTCCCGAATCATAGGCTATGTGTACTGTATTGGACTTAGAAAAGCTACCTAATTCTACCGTATAGAATAAATCCTTTATCGATCATTGATTTCAAAATCAAAGCAGGGAAATTTCGACCTGAGTACCTATATTTGTCTTTGAACTTCCGGAACACATGACGCTCACTAGCGCATTTATGTTTATTGTTGAAAGAGTGTGGACTAGTTACGAATTCTAAATTAGTCTCGTAGGCTGCCTAGACTTGCCAAGTACTGAGGCTATGTGTAGGTAGCTATATATAAACCTTCGGAAAAATAAATAATAAAGAGTGCTTAGTGGGTAGATATAGGCGGAAGACCCACCTAATAAGCTTATATACCCCGTCCGACACGTTTATAATTGATGTGGAGAACAGACAATAAAGTTCTTAAGTCCCGTCGATCTTATAAAAGATAGTCACTAGGCGAACTCCTAAAGGAACATACGCTAGACACTTTCTTTGAGGTGACCTCATGTGACCAATATGACTGCCTATCATTTTTCTATGATGTATAGTATATTCCAACTTCATCATAGACTAGTAGGCATGTCTAAGTCAAGTCATAGCCTGGTCCTGGTGTCTGTGCCATAAGTTTGTTCTTGCTTTAGTCTTTAGAATCATTCCTGCCCGAGAAGGAGCATTTAAACCGCATAGTTTATTCTGTAAATATTAGGACAGGTGCTGGTCATTCTTGGATTACACCATAGTTAATCCTATTCTTCTGAATAGCTTATACTAATCGGGCTCTATGCGTGGGTGTACCGTGTAGATGAGGTGTAGGGAAAGAATACCTATGTAGGGGAAGGTTGGGTATATTGGAGTTTAGCACTTTAGATGAATGATCAAATTTCATTCAAAATTCACACCTTAGGACCTAAACTAGCAGTTACTCGGCGAGAATCGCGCATTCTCACATTCCCTTTCCCCGAATGCTCCTCAAACTTCACCTACCTACTCTTCATTAGCTCGTTATATCTAGCGCTTCTTTATTATACTCAACCTCTCATTGTACCTACCTAAGTATCTGTTTGCTCCGGAGCACTTAGAAAATTGTGATGACTTGGTGACCTGCATTATGTTACACCATTTAGCTCTTCTGACCTGGTATCAAGGGAGATTGAACAATGCAAACAGGAAATGACTATTCCCGAAATATGATCGTAGCCTTCCATCGACGTTTGGATATGTGCAGTGTGTCACCCGTAACTGGTAGTATAACCGATTGCCGTAACTTATAGTAGCCTATAGCCTTGTCAGGTTTTCAATAGGACCACCCTTAAGCACCGGACGGTGTCCACACCGCGAATAACCGAATAGCCGCATGCTCTCCGAGGTATTTACTGAACAAACAACAACGCCAACATGAAACGTTAACTCGAGAGCGGACTAAGGTAAGGGAAACAAGCGTGGTATTAGCATCTGAGCTAACAAGCTTCGTGGCTTACATACCCCAACGCGGGGTCGCCACGCGACTTTGCATGCCTCATGACCGATAGCAAATAAAAATCGAGACCGCTCAATGGATGATTTGGCTAGAGATGCTAGATGCAAGATGCAAGTCATCTTGGATGCCCAGGATGCGAAAGATTAAAAAAAAAAAAAAAGCCTAACGAACTTGCGCTGGAGTGTGACCTACAGGGCTCAGATGCAGGATCCAGATTACTGGCATCTGTTAACCATGGTCCGACTAACACAGTTGCACTGCTCCGGCGTAACAAGTTTGCCCGGCATGACCGGCATGAATTTGTTGTGAGAGTAGGACAACGTAAACGCTGTGCGATAGTGATATAATAGTTAAATGATAGTTCCGGATCGTATTTAGACTGTCACTAGAGGCGCGTACATGATAGTAGGTGAAGACGTCGTGCAACGTTGGCGTTTGCGCCGGTTCGCCTTAGCGTCCGAATTTCGCCCGTTTCGTTAATATTCTCAAACAGATCCAGCCTGGCGGGTCGCATGGGATAGAAACCAGGATATGCACTAATGTTGTTTTTTCATAACTGTCATATTACCTTAGGTTCCAATAGGTAGGTGCTTACTAGGTAGGCAAGGTACAAGTGCCCAGTCAGTCGTCGGGTCCCTCGGATTCCTCGCAGAGTTGCAGGTGCGTCTAAGGTCCCGGTACAATCAATACATGTACAATTTACAGGTACGCCGGCACTTCCCCTGGGCTGTCGTATGTAACCAAGCTAAATTAAGAATTTTTCTAGAAACGTGAATTGGAACCCAACATTCGAATCTGTACCCAAGTACCTAACTTGTAAGGCTCCACTGTTTCCCGCGTTCCTCTCCGCTGTTTCTACATTACCGCGCCAGGGTGGGAGGCGGACATGATCTCAGGGATTATATCTCTTTATAAGATTATTTTAAAAATGTAAATATTATTACAATATCCCGACATCGTCACCAGGATAATACTGCATACAGAATTATCTCGAGTCTCCGTGACGATGTTTAATGAAAATAGCCTCATGTTTAAAATAGTCATAAGGATCGTGTTAAATTCGACATAATCTCAGCCTTCCAAGATCATTTCAGCCTTCCGAAACGATCTCAGCCTTTCAAAACGATCTCGGGGATGATTTTAGCCTTGAGGCTATTGCCACCTTATATCTCCAGTTGCAACTGCCTTGCCCTTATTGCGGCCTTATATACTGCAACAACAGGCCAGCTATTGTTTCCCGTAAAATCGTAGCAACGTAAGACTTAGCTCAATCGTAAAAGACGTAACATCGTAATTGTAATTGTAATTGTAATCGTAAGCCTGTAATTCGAGCCTCAACTATAACAAGTAATATATCTGTATTTTCAACTATTCGTAATAATAATATGGTACTATATGTAAGTAGATATATGCGCTTATATGTTTTTGACCTTTTTATTAAATAAATATATCCTTATATCGACATAATTTCAAGATTTCGAAATGATCTCTGGGACCATGTCGGAGGTACGTGACTATCCCAAAAAAGTAAGTATCTTATTTCTTAAAACCCTTGTATTTTACATACAATCTCGGAACTTCGTGACCTTGTCCTTTTGAATACGATGTATTTTTCTATAATCGTATCCAATTCAAAAAAATCACCAATTCGCATAAGGATCTTATCAACAACATTACTCATTTATAAGATCGTCAAAAGCTGTTCACGTAATTGAAATCATTTCAAATTGTCGAGATTATCCCTAAGATCATGTCCTGATCCCATACTGGCGCGCTAATGTATCCCAAGTTTTCTTAGCCTGCATGCTGTGCAACACTTACAACGAATCCCTTTACAGTTCGTTTTCTAGTCGGTCCAACGTCAGCAGCGCCACAAGTACGGTCCGTCGAGGGGAATCTTACCTGTAGTGCTAGCCTTAGAATTAATTACTAGATAACCTTAGTTAACTAATAGATAAAATGACTTGTTTAATATATCTAGCCTATGTTGATCTTGACGAGGCAGGTCAACTATTTGGTGAATGTTTCGGATTCTTTAGATCCTATTCCCTTAAGGGGTTTGGACTGGGCATGGTGGTGGTGGTAGGGTGAAGTAGCTAGCAGCTGTACTCCAGATCTAACTATGCAAGTTATTCTGGACTAAGGCTCGAAACAAGCAACACATGTTCCAGTCCGACCCATTTTATTAAGCAAGGAAAATCACCGGATCAGGCCGAGAAAGAAGCATCAACAACATAAACTTGACCAAATGTCTAACCGGATCCGGGTTAAATCCGCTAAAACCATCACAAAATCTCATATCATATACGTATTATAGATCACTGCAGGTTACACGGCAACTCTTGGCTAGACAATAGGCCGGCGTTAAACTTATAGTTTCTTATACCGCGATGTTGAAGCACTACGACCTCCTTGGCACCCCTTACCGCATCACGCGCCAATCAGAAGTGTCCGTGATATTCGTGGCAGACCATTATACGATGCGCCCAAAAACACATGACTCCCCCAGGACTCCCCCAGGACTCTGCAAGTAAGCCATTGCTTGGGTCAAGAGATCCGCCGTCACCCCTTCCTGAAATTATGGACATCGACCTGCCATGTGACTCTGTGTTGCTGTGAGGTGTAAGTAAGGCACAGTCGGAAATTCACTGGACGGATGTGTGTGCTAGTCTATGTCAAGACTTGTCACGGCCTACTACCCATGTACAACTGACGAGCACGTCTTTGTTGTAGTTTTATATAAGAAGGCTCTCTCCCTCCGTTCAACTTCTTTATAGGTTCCCTTGGAACAACAACGAGAACTTACCAGGCCATCTCCTCACTATACCGGCAATGCCTCGACGAACTGCCAACATGTCACTCATTTTCATATTACTTCACTGCCTCAGCTTTATCTCCCTTGGTTTAGCTAGGCCTCTCCACCCTGCTCATCCCCTTCACGAAACGAGGGCAGTAGGGCCTAGGGGCGAGCTAAGGGAAGCCTTCAGATGGAGGTCGATCAGGAACAAACTTCACCTCACGTACCGAGACACCACGGTAGCTTTTAACGAGATCGGTGCTTCCTTCTCTCTTGGCGATAGGGAAAGCCGGCTGTCCCCCGGAGGGACATACCCTCGCCTTACTAGGCTCGCGGACAGCGGCATCCTCTCGGCATCAGCTTACAGCGCCAATGGCGTACGAACTATTAGAGTTGCCAGGAGCGATGACAACGGCGCCACATTCAACGTAATCGGCAGTATCGCCCAGGGCCCCGGGGACTTGGATAACGCATTTCTGATTCAACTTCCGTCCGGAACTGTCCTTGCAGCCTTCCGTAACCACGACAAGGATGCTAAAGGTCACTTTACGTATTTCCGTATCACCGTCTGTAAAAGTAATGACGGCGGTCGCACGTGGGTTTTCTTGGCTCATGCCGCCCAACAACCCGCTAACGCATCGGGCTACAACGGACTATGGGAGCCCTTCATCCGGATCGGAAAGGACGGCGCGCTCCAGCTGACTTACTCCGGCGAGCTAAGTCAGACCAACCAGGAGACATTCCGCACTCTGTCGTACGATCACGGAGCGACATGGTCTACGCCGGTTAACCTGAGGTTACACAGCTCGGATCAGCAATTCCGAGACGGTATGCAGGGAATTGCTTCTATCAAAGACGCCAATGGCCAAGATGCTCTAGTAATGGTTTTCGAAGTCAAGGACGGCCCGAACTTCCACCTCGCAACCGTGCTTTCGTACGACGACGGTAACACATGGAGCAAGCGAAACGTCATCTACCGACCTAATAAGCACAACGCCGGGGCGCCGCAGATCGCTACTCTTGGGAAAGGTCTTGCTGTGGTCTTCATGACCGACGAGGACCTGCCTGCCGACAAGCTGGATTGGGCTAACAAGGCCGATATCAAGATGATCTTTTCTTCGGAGCTTAACAACGGTAACCTCAAGTGGACCAGCCAGACACTCCACATCTCGGAGGACAGCTCATACTGGCCAGGTACCTTCCAGAGAGGAGCCAACAACATCATGGCTGTCTACGAGCGCGGAGGTGTTCCTTACGGAAGAATCATCACGAGGGTTTAAAAACCTCAGGAATAACATTTACTAAATAACATTCACTAGACTGGAAACGCATTGCTTGGAAATTTTGGGGGTTTAATAGGGTTTCATTTATTGGAGTTATGGTCATCGTTCACGATATCCCTTACCATCACGGTTACTGCAGATATCATGGGGGTATTGCGAAAACGCTTTAGGCTTGAACACATTTGCGACAGCATACACTATGGCGGTGGTATCGAGACAACGGCTTTGGAAACAGGGCTAGCCGAACTAACGAGGACACGCATTGTATATACCTTTAAACATGCATTAAACAGAATTGAGCATATATTGTTAGAAGTGGAAAATCCTCGCATGGTTGTTAGAGTTATTGATTCGATAGGTTTACGAACTAGCGTAGTTCATTATTAACACAGAAACAATCCTTAGCAAAGCCTTGCTTGACGGGTTGATAGATCCGCAAATAATTGTGTTGGCGGGGGGCGGTGTGTCTCAGCGAGTTGGCACAGACAAGATACCTAATCATCTTGTTTCTTGTTTCTCGATACCAAAATAAACTTTATCCCATTACAAATAACTACTAGTTAGGAATGATCAAGTAAGGGGCTGTGATATACCCTGCCCGCCAAGACTAATAGGTGTCAGTCAATCGCGATTTGCGAATGCTTTAGCCTATCCCTTAATGCGGCACATCTCACCTCAACCCATCAATCTGATCACTCTTAGTTAGAATTTACATAATCCGAAAATGGATTTCATCCTTCGGCTTCCGGATAGCTTGCTTCTGCACGGAGTCCAGGTTACCGGAAGAGCTCAGTCTAGGTATTCTGATTAATGATTAAGTTGATATTATAACAATGTCTAAATTATAGTCACCTCCAGGCATGACTATGTGAATATTCGTACAAGCTATTAACCTCGAAGTTAAGATTTAAAACTTACCCGAAGTGATACATATACTGAGTCACCCTAACGCTATCTGGAAATGGTACTGAATCACTTACGTGCCGCTCAGTTAGCATACCGGACCTTATTATGATAGGTGCTTCGTGCATCAAGCAACCCCTGCAGCTTAGTGGTTATGGCTGTTAATCATGCAGAAATAAATGAGCTCAAGTTCGGCATTACACTGAGTCTACTGCATATTGCTATTATATTTGATAGCTATGTCATAGTTCATCAGACTCCGTTACAACACCTGCTACTCCCGTCAGCTTCCCGTGGTTGACGAGTGCAAGTACAGGCACCTGCTGCTAGTATTTACCCTTGAATTCTTGCACCCATTTCTGCACAAATGTCGCGATCTGCTTCTGGGCGTCCGCAACCGGCGCTGGCGGTAGGTCCGCTGTCGTTTCGTTAGGGAATAGGCCGTTCTCATCCCAGTGGTGGACCGCCCGCTAATAAACTGTTAGTACGGGATATAGAAAAAGCAATAGCGAACTTACATCGATTAGGATATAGGGCTCGTCTAGCGTGTTGGGTCGTTCGGGAAGACCAATGGCATGAACACCTGCCGCTCTCCACGGATCCCACTCGCCATCGATGAAAGCAAGTCTGGGATAGCTGATGTTGAATCCGCCGAGCTTATTGATGTACTCCACGTCGGCTGGCTTAGTCAAATTGAAAGCCTCTCGGCAAATCAGAGCCGAGTAGTCCACGTCAATGGTACGTGAGATAAGAGGGAGTTGGTCCTCAGGGACACCACTTCCGGTTTGAAGATAACCCCATCTAAATATCTGGTGAGTACTTGAGACCATATTGTGAATCAGTGGCTTGAGACTTACTGAGTGCAAACTTGGTATTGCCATAACCTCCAGGTTTGGGAAAGATCATCACGAGCGTAAAATTCCGGGTCGTAAGTAGTGAAGCATGCATCCTGGTCACCGGAACATCTTGCAACTGAAGTTTGGTTCACGTAGCCAACGTAATTCAAGAATCGGTTTGCAAGAGTTTCTACCTCGTCTTCGTAGCCGCCGATTTTAATCAACTCTTCAACAGATGCCCTGCGTGTTTCTGTTGCAGGATACAGCACGTCATCCGATGAGACCTTGTCGCAGTAGACAAAGAAACTATCGCTGCTCTGCGAAGGATCCCAGTTTAGACTCTGCAGCCCATAGATGCCGCCATTGATAGCACTGGCGAAGTCGCCGTCGCGCGTTACATTGGGTAGACCAAAAGCTGCTTTAAGCTGCCCAACATAGTCAGAGCCCTTTTTACCAATAAGTATATTGTCCACAATATGCGTTAGCTTTTGGGTGGTTTCGACGCATGCCGGCGGCCCATAAACAGCGGCAGCCTCGAAATATTGCCAGTAATCCCAAATAGCCTGGGGGACGCCAGACGACGAGATAGTGCCATAATAGACATCCGGGTATACGACTCGCAAGAACGCGACAAAAGCACCGGCATAACTGCCGCCGTAGGCAATCCAAGGTGTCTTCTCAGGACTCAGATCCACGTTCTCCAAGCCGGCGAATTTGACATTCTTAGCAAAGTAAGCAGTATCAGCCAGGGCCTGGTCGGTAGTAAGGAAGCGCAGGTTCTCGGTGCTGAAGTCCGGTACGGGAATGCTTTTCCCATAGTATCTATGTTCGAGAATGACCCCTACTCCGCCGGTCGCTTTCGCAAGCTGGTAAACGATGCCTTTCTGCAGAAAGGGTAGGCGATCAGCTCCATCCGTCTCTCCTCCCGAGAGCACAATCACCGGACCCCCTGGCTTATAGTATTGCGTGTCGAACCAGTACCGCAAATTGAACGTGCCATTGGAGTGCGGCTCGTAAGAGGAATCGTTGTGGAAATGGTCAATCGGGGTCGAGAGATTGTACTCGGGATAAATGGCTTGGAGGTCAAGCTCTCTGGCGCTGAGACCGACGTACGCGTCTCTACGTTGGACCTGCCGCAATTGGATGAGTTAGTCTCATGATTATCTAGTTATTTACATGGTATATTGATGGCAAATGGTAGAAGGCATGGTGTATCTGTTTGCATTCGAATGAAGTTATGTTCACATACCTGCTTCGCAAGTTCGCTAATTGGCAAGGGGTGTCTCTGAATTGCCTCAACGGAAGAGACAAGGGCCAGTAGGCCCGCGACAGCACCGCAACGAACCATGGTAACGATGAGAAAATGCGCCTCTAGAGGGGATTCCAGTAAACAGGAGTCACCTACACAATCCAAAAATAGGGCGACACGCCCATATTTGAGAGGGTAATTGGAGGCCCGCTTGGCATTGTGCAATATCTAGTCTCCGTTGTCGTTATTATTGCTTTAGGCAGGACAAGAGAGATAGCGTCGTATTATTAACCCCGGACATGCAGACACGCCACCCGAGCAGCCGAGATAATGAGTGACGATCCTTGGCGATATGCGGTCAGATCCCAGTCAAACCCCGGGGCTAGGCAAAAGATGGAAGGTCTCGCTACACTCGTTTAAGACGTTATCAAGATCCGTCCATCTACCTATGATTAAACATCTCTTATATAAAAAAGTTAATATTATTAAATTAAGAAAATCTTTATATCCAAGAGGCAGATCTCTCACGATGTGTACCTATACATACCGATCGGTGCTATGTGAGATGTTTTACACCGATATGGCGATACATTTCATTAGTGTAATAGTGGAAACGTATTCCGGCGACTTCTCTCAGTTAGCCGGATAATGCGTGTATCGTATGTTATAAATTGTCCCCGCGGCCTTGAATTATCAACCTTCCAAGATAAAACAACATGCAAACTAGGTATACAGTAAATAGGCAATATGTTGTAGCCAAGCATATTAAATTCAGAGTAAGTAGGATTCTAGTCTTATATGATTGGACGGTATCATGTGCTTCGCTGTCTCAGCTTTTAGAGTAGGTTATATGGGTTTAAGGCATCGCGCTTCTTAGCTCTATACTTTTATTCGCCTCCTTAAAATACTATGATCTACGACTATATGAAGGATTAGGCATGGTAATGGCCATCATTAGATATCATTGATGTCTTGTTGCGTTAGCCCTTCACCATATTCAATGTAGCGAGCATTACGGATTAAAGTCGTGTTTATATAAGCCACAAATTAGTCGCAATCGTATACGCTTAAGACATTCCGATGAGTACAGGTAGGTAGCTTGAATGTATTGTCGTAAAGCTAGACGCAGTTGCAACCTAGGCAAAATCAACAATAACCAAATAAGAAACACCAATAGCGAATAAACAATATAAAAGTATCAGCATTTCAATATTTACATTTAGATACCTCGGTAGATAAACTAGCGGCTTATCTAGGTGCATTTTACTTAACAATGGGCTCAGATACTGTTAGCAAACAACTCAACAAAGCTTACCATGGTATGGTATGTCCTTTCGAACACTTCTTCAAGTATCCGAGCCGGTCCTAGATTGAAAACATTCCTTCTACTTATTCGAAACATCATCTCGTGTATACCTGAGCTACGTGGCCAAGAAAGGAGTGTTGGTGAAGATAAATAATATTAATAATTCAACGACTATAGCATAAGGCTGCAAAGTTCTCAGGGCTACCTCTTACGAACGTTACCTGACATAGGCAGGTAATAAAATCTTCCCTCAGTCTAAGATGACTAGACAGGAACGATGTATAGTGTACCCTCGAACAACAGGAAATCCACCGCAAACCCTAAGGCGTAGATCTAGATGACCTACGAGGTGCCCGAAAAAAGCTTACATCCAGGCTAAATTTGATATGCAATCAAGCTCCTGCCCCATGTCGCTGATGATCGACTATTCCTCGGCCCATATTAGTTCCGCCCTCCCGCGTTCAAATCGTCGTTTTTCTTCAGCTCGCTTCTGATAAGGCATTCAAGTTTGTCCAACTTCTTTGGACCTTCCCTGATGATAGTATCATTAGGGTCCTGGAGAGCCGCTAAACGAAGTTCGTTGTTTCTGTGATAGACCCAGTCGAGCCACTCCTGAAGCTTTCTTTTGTTATCATCAGAGAGCTTTCTATGCTCGACGTCAAGCCCGCGAACCCAGGACTCGATCTCCGGGACTTTGTTCATGATGGCATGGCCAAGTGCTACAAGCGATACAGAATTCATTTCTGCTGTGGGTTATATGTCGAGGAAGAGTTGTGTTGTTCTGTGAGATGATTGGTTTATTGTTAGAGGAAATCGAAAAGGAAATAGGAGACCTTGGGGACTGGCTTTATATATGTATTAGTTTTAGAGCGAGTCGGTGAGCTGCATTCACGCTGATGGTTTCAAGATATTTCCAGCATGACTTCAAAAGACATCTCGTGTAGTCTATCACCAATTCATTTTGATCGATTTACATCTAGATATTTGAGATGCCGAAAGATCGGTAGTATATGAGATGTATTAGGTTGACTTACTCTATGAGTGAGGAGGGATGTCCTTATATATACATTCTATTGTACTTGAAATTAGTCCCTTGACCACTCATTTCAACAAGGGGTGTAGTAGTACTTAGTACCGTCCGATGTTTTTTTGTCGCGGTGATAAGGTAGAACTTTATCATGAATGGATCGTGAGTTAGATCTAGTACGTAACGATATATGGCTAGTAGTGAATGTGTAGGAATATCTTAGATATGCACTCCACTATGATTGTTTGTTTTAGTGTCAGCCTATTGAAATTGAGGTTTTCCTATCCACAGACGTTAAAATGATGGCCAGAAAGAGTCGGAAGAGCTCTAATCGTGTGAATCCTAGAATAGTGGTGACATCGTTGTTAAGTTTATTATTTAGGATTAACTACAGGATTTAGGATCTAGCTATTGTTTCTATAGGTATGCAGTAACTGCCTGAATCATGCCTCAATGAATCATTGAATAGATTCAGTGCCTGAGTCACTGTAGCGGGATCCACAATCGCAGATAAATACAATCACGTTGAGTTAATTCAGTCAAATTTGTATGAGTATCTAAGTACCTAGCCTACTAAAGGTAATCATACGACGCCATAAATACAATTAGTATCGTTTTCTACTGTCTTAATAGTTCCTCATTTATCGGGCCCGTGAGTGAATCGTTGCCTCCGCCGTATACTCATCTCGGGTACTGACGTGGTCAAACCCGATAGGGAGTTCGAACTCTCTCGTAATAAGATCAATGGTACCTAGGTAGTCTTGTTTGTAACAAGCGGGAATCTGGAATTAAGGGCCTTCGCCATGTCATACTTCTCAAGGGTCATAGGGACCCGTAGCCCTCCGCCCTGTTAATAGCTCGGCATCACCGTGTTCTTTTACAAGATAGATATCTTCGTGACGAACACCAAATTTACCTTCCAGATATATCCCAGGTTCGTTTGTAAAAGTCATCCCAGGTTGGAGGATACTTTTTGTATTCCACTTATTCAAGTATGGTGACTCGTGGGCTAGGGAGAAGTGAGTGAGTGATATCAAAAGACCGACCTGCTAGGTATAATAAGTTTAAGAAGTACATACCCTTAATTCCAATTCCGTGACCCAGCCGATGCGTAAAGGCATGACCATATCCTGCATTTTCAATGATCTTACGGGCAGCAAGGTCGACACTCGCCGCGGTATTATTCGCTTTAAACTCCCTAGATGCAGCCGTCTGGGCCTCTAGTACAATATTCCATACTTTCAACTTTTCTGCATGCAGCTTAGGGTCCCCTCTAGGAACTTGGATGGACCTAGGCAGCAGGTCCATCGTCATAAGGAGAGGTGAAATTAAGCTATAGTATGTTTTGCCCCTTTCTGCTGCTGAGTCTATGAAAAAGCTGCGGCAGATATCGGAAGAGTATCCCAAGTAATGCGCCCTAGAAGGAGTTTAGAGATACGTCTAGAATTTTGCAAGTGTGCTTACCCGACATCGATCACAACCATTGTCTCATGGCTTAATTTCTTTTGGCCAACGACAAAGCCACCGTGAGGCAAGGCGCCATCTTCTTCGAAGAGCACAATGTTGAAGAAGAGGGTAAAACCCACCGAGAGCAGCGATGCATCAAGAATATTTCGTACCTCGTCTTCGGTCAAATCTGCCACGAGGCATGGACGCATCGCCCTTACGGCCGCCACAGTCCCTGTGTTCACAGCGCGGAGCAATTCTACCTCGGCGGAGCTTTTCAGCTGTCTCACTAATTCGACTTCGGCGCTTAATCCGAACGTCTCGAATCCAGCATTTGCAAGTCCGCGAGCAATGAAATCCCGCAATTCTTCATCTATTATGAGTCTAGGTTTCCTCCCATGCTCATGCATGCCAGTATCAGCGAACAGATGAGACTGTCGCAGGGTGCCGTAAGGATCCCAGTGTTCCTCCCAAGTTACAATGTCCAATTCAGGCTCTCGGGAGGGAATCCCGAGCATGCGGACTCGGCCTTCCTCAAAATGTGGAGCGAGAAAAGCCGTCTTGGCAGAAACTGCCCCGGACTCAGAGCTTACGGGTAAGATTATCATCAAGAACGGTCTTTCTTCGGGCTCCCAGGGCTCCCAATCACTTTGTGAGGTGTTTCCGTAGTATCTAGCAGGCCATTAATGTTAGGTCAGGTGAAAACACGTGAATAACTATGAGTAAGGTGTTGAGGATTCGTATAGGCTTACTGGAAGGTATAGCCTGGCTCGAGAACAAAAGCATCGACATTAGATGCGACTAAAGCTCGTGCGAGACGATCTCTTCTTTCTATGAACTCGTATTTGCTTATCGGCGATGTCCCGTCGAGAAAAGATAGGTCGGCTTGGAGATTATCGATGGCGCATCTCTGCACCTGAGCTATATCCAGTCCTGACTTTACGTTTTGGAATATCCATGTGCGTAATAGACATGCCAAATTGAATAATGAAACGGCCAAGATAATAGCTCTACGGCTTCTGTAAGATCCAATGCCGTGGCTCAAGCTCGGAAGGGCCTTTCGAGTTGATTGTTCCATGACCGCGGGAAGCTGGGATGTGAGTGAGGGGTACAAGTTACTACCGGACGCCAACGTCTTGGAGAATAGAGAATATTAATAGAAACCTTGTACCGATCAGCACGTAGTATCCATTGGGATTTTTTCAACCCCGATTAAAGCCCTGATTGGACTCTGACTTCTTATCCGCATTCTTCGATCTCATGATTGTGCCGATTGGCCAGATCTCTCTGTAAGTAAATCCTTCCCTCTGCTTAACCTTAAAGATGGGTTTTTCAAATTGTCCTAAATGGTGTGGATCCCAGGCAACAACGATTCAGGCAATTGCTGCCTGCATTCTATGCATATATAAACATAGCTAGATCCTAATCCTGTAATCCTAAATAGTCAACTTAACAACGATGTCACCACTATTCTAGGAATCACAATGGGAAGTATTCGATTAGAGGTAACTAGGTACCTAATATGTATCATGATAACCTCAACGCTCGTTTACATGCACACTAAGCAGAACACCCGTCGCATACTACGAAATTACCTGCCGGAAGATCCGGCGGAGCTGCCTTGGCGGCCGGACCATTATCCCGGTTATGTTGGAGGCGACGAGGAGGGTGGTTATGATTACAGTGGTGTGAGGGCCGCGACACTTGTGCCATTACCATTACCGCTGTCGTCGCCGGCGGTGTCTTTATTTCCTGATATCTATCTCGGAGAGGGAAACGGAAACAACAGAGATGATGATGATGGACACGACGGCGGCGTATTGGTAGAGCGCCGAGCACGAGGTCCCTGGAGAAGGCCGCACGCACGCCCGGAAGAACCCGACGTCCGGGTGGCGGAGCAGCGCAACGGCGTCGACGGCCGCTTCCCCAACTGTAACACCGTCGCCTTGCGCGAGCTGCTGCGAATCGCGGTCGATACGGCCCTCGAGGGCATGGGCCGGGTGCGGCCAATTCCTGGAGGACGGCCACCAGCTGCACGGCATAATGCTGGCGGGTTAACTTGCTTTATTATATCACCCTATATTTACCCTAGGTACCTAGGGTTTCAAAAATAATGCAAGATTACTTAGTAATGGAAGACCTGATCTTACCTTATATACGTGAGGGGATACCTTATTTTCTAAGGTCTACGCCATCCCCCATTATTGTGGATATAATGTGAGTGGCGCAGAACGATAGATAGCTTTTGTGATGTAATTTACTCGGTTTCTAGGCAGTCCTTAGAGGTAGGAGCATAGGAGAAGGCTATAATGAGACGGAAGGACCTTCGGCCATGCGAAAGTGAAATAGTTTGCGAGGTCCCCGAATTCGATCTTTTCCTCTTTTCTCTCTTTAACCCGAATCCTTATAACCTCCCCCCCTTCGCCCCCCCCCGGGCCTTTCTTTGATGTTATTTTCAGGTTTTATTATTATAAAAAGCGAAACAAAGCGACAATATGTTTTTCAACATATTTTTTACTGCTGGTCTCCGCCCGGTCGGGTCTGCCGGAGTCGGTGCCGTTATAGATTGTTTGCAGGAGTCGGTGAAGCAATGGTGGAAGACTGGTCGATTTCGAGTTTCCGTGGGTCACACCATGAAGAAAATGTAAGTATTTCCTTAATGCTACTCCTTACCGCAGCCCACCGTTGAACATGTCTATGTTGCTGTCATATGTCATTTTACTTCCAATTCTAACCGAGATATAGCTTAATCGCAATGGCCGGTCGGGCAGCTGAGCTACTCAGTCCCACCTTGTTTCGCTGGCTCTGCAGCATACTACCAGGGACCTCTTCGTCTGTCCTCACCCTTCAGAGGGGTGGGGCTAACAAGGGGCGATGAGGATGGCACGCCCGACCTTTTTGACAACCTCGGTACCTTTTGGCCCGCCGAGGAACCCCCTCCTAACTCATTCAGCCCTCCCTGCCGTCACAATTTGAGTCGACATTCGAATTCTCGCTGGTATGATACAATACCCTATCACTTTATCACGACAGTTCAATCTCGACTGACGATATAGGCCACAAGAGGGTTTTGGTGTGAAGTACATGATAGAAGCGTGGGTTGTCGTCGTTTCTCATTGCCCATGTCCCCTGTGTTCGGCTTACATATTAAACTAGTCGGATAGCGTCGTACTAGGATGAGAGTTTAAGGGCGAGAATTTACTTCCAGGTAAGCTGCCTGACAGCCGATTCTAGCTTCTCTAAGGACTAAACTCTCCTCATATAGACGGCCATCTCAATGCCTTGACCGGGATAGCCGCGGCTTCGTTCCTCTTTGCGTTCGTGCTCTCCTCGAGCTCCCATCCGTCTCGACCGCAACCAAGACGTTCCGCTCCATCTCTACCACCGCTACCACCCATCTCAATACCTTAACCGGGATAGGCGCATTTTCGTTCCTCTTCGCCTTGACGGCGGCGGAACCCCTCCTTAGAGACCCAAAGCGGAACCCCCTCCTAACTCAGGTGCCTGTCTGCTCTGCATTTCCAACAGACCAAAAATGGAACCCCCTCCTAGAGACATGTTCATCAGAAAATAGAACACCATACACCCTGTCACGAGGTGGAACTAAACAGTATGGTAACAACTTCGTTGTTCCGCGAGGGACTCTAACCTAACTACGGGGATCTATGTCTATACATACTGAACATGTCCTTTGTTCTAGATGTCTCATCTAGAATCCTGACACACCCTATATACCGCCATGACAACATCATCCATGTCCAGATTCTCTACATCTATAGCTGCACTGCAGCTTGTCGACAAAGGCCCTTCCTCGACAAGGTCCGGGAGCTGTCGTGAGGAAATGAGAGTGATTCTCTGTTGAGCGGCTTGGGGGCATGATTGGTCTTGGTGTTTTGATTATAGTTTAGGTCTCGTTGAGAGCGGTAGTTATGGGCTAAAGTGGACATAGATGTAGGTGGGATGGATTGGCATAGTCAAATTTAGTCAGCAGTTAGTCGGGGATACTTACGTATAATGAGATTGTCAGGATCTTTATGAACAGAGAGATAAAAGCAACTGGCTCGCTGTATATCGACTATACATATAGGGATAGATAGGATAAACAGTAACGCTTGCCCTTCCTACAGCTATCTGGGGGCGGAGCCCCTTTTATATACACTCCAACTAGCGCCTGCTAGGTCCGGCCGTCACTTATCGTCTTCAGGAATATTTAAAGTGGCAAGGCACAAACACCTCCACGTCACTCCGTACTGGTCCTTGTACCCATTAACAGATGTTTAACTTTATTTATTGGAAAGCTTGCTTTTTTAAGTTAAATTCGGTCTGTAAAAAGATTAAATTTTAACGTTAATAAAACTTTACGAGTTTACATTTACTTTATTAATTAAAGTTTACCCGAGATTTTTAAATGCGGTTAATTAAAAAATATAATTTATTAAACATTATTACGTTATATTTAAAATTTAAAACTTAAAAAATTATTTATAAATTTAAACATAAGAAAAATTATAAAAAATAAATATAAATATTAACAATGTGTTTAAATGTATTAATTAATTTATTTTTATTATAATTTAATTTGTAAAATGTTTTAAAATATTTTTTTAAACATTTAATAAATTTTAAAAAAAATTATTAACGATTTTTTAAAATTAAAAAATTATAAAAACGGTGTTTTTTAAATTATTTATAATTATTTATAATAATATTATCCATTAAAATATTTTATAATTATAACGCATTTAATGAAAAAATTATAACATTTTTAATAATATTAATGGGATATTATTACGTAAGGATAATCACGTGGCAACACGTGATTATTTTTTACATAAAAGGTAATTTTTTTTAAATAACATTTACACATTATTTTAAATGACTTTAAACTTAAATTCGTTTTATAAACGGGTTACGTTTACCCACGTTTATTAACGTTATAAACGCCACGTAACGCATGGCTTATGTAATTATATTTGTGGGTTACAAGTAAAGCGTTTTACAAATTTAAGTTTAAAATTACTTTAAATTTGTAAAAAACATTTGGTATAAAATTGTTAATAAAAAATAAAAAATAACGTTTTTAATAATTTAATAAATTATAATAACGTATAAAAAAGCTTTTTTTTTAATAATTTAATATTATTATTAATTTTTTTTTATTTTTTTAGTTTTTTTTTATATTTATATAACGTTACGTTATTATATATTAAACTTTAACGTTAAAAAAAACATTTAATAAAAAAATAAAAAAAAATTAACATAATTAATAATATAATTAATAAATTAATTAATAACATAATACCACGTATAAAATATTTTTTATTTTAACTTTAATTTAATAATATTATTATTTAAACTTTTTTTTTATATATTTATATAATTTTATTTTTTTAAATATTATGTTTTAACGCGTGTTATAACGCGTATTATAATTAATGCGTTATAATTAATACGTTATAATTAATGCGTTACGACCGATATAATTAATATAATTAATATAACCGATATTACGGTTAATATTATAATTAATTTTAATTTAAAATACGTATGTTTAATCGATAAATTTAATAATAAAATTAATAAAAACGCGTTAATATTATAATAATTATAATAATAATTTTAATAATTTTTTATATTATAAATTTAATTTTTAAAAAAATAAATTTTAATAAAACTTTAAATTAAAAATTTAATATTATTTTAAAAATTGTTTTAAAGTTATGATTAATTAAAAAATGATATGGTTAAAAAAGTATAACTTTTTAAATTAATTTAAATTTTTGGTTTAAAGTTATTTAAAATTTATTTTAATAAATTTAAACCATAAATTTAAAATCGTTTATACGGTTATATTTTTTTTAACTATAAAACTTTTTAATTAATTATAATTTTAACATAATTTTAAAAACAATTTTAAATTTTTAATTTAAAATAATTTAAACGATTTTTACCATAATTAATTATTTAATATTAAAAATATAATATTAAAATAATATTAAAAACAATAATATTAATACGTTTAAAATAAGTTTTAATTAATTTAAAACATTTATTAACTTTATTAATAATAAATATACGTGTTTTAAGTTTTTTAAAATAATAATTAACCGTAATATCGGTTATAATACCGGTTATAACACCGGTCGTAACATTTTTAAAAATATATTACGTTAAAGTTTATAACATTATAACGTAATATTATACAAGTATGTAAAATAATTAAAAAGTTTAAACAATTAAATTAAAAACTTTAAATTATAAAAATAAAAAATATTTTAAACGTAATTATAAATATAAACACGTGGTTATAAGTATAAACGCGTAAATGTAAATATTAATATAACATTTTTACATGTTTTTAAACGTTAAAACTTACGATATTATAACGTAATACCGTACGAATATATAAAAAAAATAAAAAAGTAAAAAAAGTAAAATATTAACTTTAAATCATAAAAATAAAAGTTATTTCGTACGTTATTATTAAATATTAAATTATCGTAAATATAAAGTTTAATTTTTAAAAAGATTATTTTAATTATGGTTAAATATATTAAACATGTTTTAAACTAAAATTTGTTAAAACTTTAGTTTTATATTACTTTTTTAAACTTTAAATCCATAAATACAATGACACGGGCCAGGCGTTACGTGGCGTTTATGGTAAACGCAACCCGTTAATTTAACAAATTTTAATTTAAATTTACTAAAATAACCTAAAATAACCCACACACATAATTCGTAATTTTTACAACATTAATCAATTAATATAACAATAACATTAAACAATCATTATAATAACAATTATTGCAATAATTTCATTTTATATTATGTTTTTTTTTTTTATTTAATATACACCGTTATTTTATTTTATACATTAACAAATATTTTAAAAAAAAATTTTATAAAAAAAATATATGTTATAATTATAACGTATATAACATTTATATAAACATTAAAAACATTATAATAAAAAAAATAATAATAAAATTAAAAATAATTTTATTTATTATAATATATTTATAAATATAAACATTTTAAAACGTAAATATAAAATTATAAACGAAAAATGATTTATTAACTTTAAATTAACTTTAATTAATTTAAATTATAATAAAAATTCTTTTTATAAACAAGTTATATTTAAACTTATTTACATGTTAAAGTATTATAAACCATAAATATAACATAGTTTAAGTTTATAAACAACTTTTAAACTATCGGTTTTAATTTTTAACGTATTTAATTAAAAAGCTTCGCCGGCAAAGCTTTCCAATTAACACAACTCGTTGTGTTACAGGGTATTTTTTAACTTAAACTTCGAAGCCATGTAAAACAGTTGCTTAAGCATAGAACAAAGTATATTACCTGTTTCCGATACTTACCTGACATATTTAAAGCTCCGCAATCATCTGTCTACAATTCTAAGGCTTCTCAAACTATTATCGGCGTGCAATCAACCCCATCTTGCTTTCCTCAATCAACAAGTGTAAAGCAACGGGACTTTATAAAATACTTGCCCCTAGTCCTTCGCTGTCCCCTAACTTCTCAACCACTATTTCAGTACTACCCGCCACGACACCTACCACCTACAACCACCAGTAGCACCCTAGTATTACTGCCTATACACTATCGCCAGCTGAAACTACATCATGGACGAATTATATTACGATACCTTCGGCTGGGATTATGATGTTGATCAGGAGGATTCAAACGTCGTGGACCACCTGCGTACCTGCTCTATCTACGACGTACCGTGCGATAGTTGCAGGGAATTGGATGCACTCTGTTATACATGTATGGCGAAGCTGAAGCGCCATGCCTGTCAGTGCCGGCGTAATACGCGACAAGCAAAGAAGGCCTCCCAGGAGAAAACAATAACGACCTGTTTTACCGATCACAAAGCTTCTACCGACTTTGAGGCCCAACCATTCAAGAGGTCCCTCGGCATCGCAGCCCCTCCACTAAGCAGCAGGCATGAATTCAGATCTCGTCTTTCGATGCCTGATAACGCTCTAGATCAATATTGGAGACTACAAACCCACCAAACCCTTTCCGCCGGGAACTACAGTATGGTGCAGATTTACGAGGAATATCACTTTACTGAACTCAACGATAAGTCTGACACATACGAGCCTCATTTTCTACCGGTTGGTGTATTCCTTAAGCCGCCCGTCGCCGATTACGTCTCCAATATTATAATAAGGCGATCAAGGCTGGTGCAATTGCCGTATATCACGTGTCAAGGGATTGGACGTACTGTATATACGCTTTCATACATGCGTAGTACTACACACGCGATCGGAGTCTGGGCAAGTTGCGAGGACGATTCCTGGCTGAGGATTAAGGACTGGTTTGAGAAGAAGAGGAGACTGGTCAAGACGGAAGGGGTGATTGGGGCTCTATTCGGAATTTGGAAACTTACTCAGTTCGATGTCGACTAAAGGCCAAGGTTGAACTAGAGCTATCTTATAACAACAACACCTAACACTCAACCCCAGGCACGGGATCCCTCCTATATAACGAGCTGTAATGAAATAGCCCCAGTATGAAGGGTCTGCTTCCCAAGTTCATTTCTAAAACTTCGAGCCGAGACGTGGAAGACGGAGCCTTCTCAGAAGTTTGTCCTTCAAAAAATGGGTAGTACCGGTAGGAAATAAATCAACGAGACCAATAATATATATATATATATATATATATATAAAAGGGGGGGGGTGGGGGGAGTTATCCAGCTGCATTAATACTAGCAGCCTACGACTGCAACCTTCTAGCTTCTTTAATATAACTTATACGTAATTTCGTCAATAAATATTGGAAAAATAATCGGGCTTCAGATATTACTTTCTATTGTATTACGTTCCATAATATCGCAAAGGAATTTAAATTTTAATAGGATATTGTGAGGTTATTATAAGTAAAAGCATAGGTACTAAGAAGTGTTAAACCATTTCTAGCAGGTGATGCTACTTGCTCAAAAAAACTAAGGTGCATTTAGCATCACTCTTAAGGAAAGGGGAGCAAGGTCGTTTATAAGAATAATTGACACTCTCAATGGTGATTTGACGGCAAGCAATAAGCGCATAAAGCCTACATCCTTAAACAATGTTCTATTCGGGTAAAAACATCTTAATTGCTCAACATAAGAATGGGCGATTAAAAGCGGCAACACGAAAAGTAAAATACCATGCATGAATTTCATAACGCACAGGCTAAGTCCATTTGCCAACAACCGGATCTTGTAGTGACTGGAGTATGGCTATCCAACCTAAAATTCAGGTTCTGGCGATGCTGGATTAATATTCTTTGCGAGATGAAGGACTTCTAAAGTACCTTTTTGTCTGTTATTTCTTCTAGAAGCCGGGGAATGAAAAGAATGAGGCTGGCCTCATCTTGAAATCTAATCCAACTTTTATTCTATTGGCGCTATCGAAAATCCTCCTCGCCCCTCACTTAGTGATCACTTAGTGACACCGAATTCCAAACGAATTTCTGATGCTTCAGTCATTGATAACTTGACTAAAACCGGGGTCTTGTCCTTGGCAAGTATAGTACTTTAACCGGTATACCAATACGAATATAAACACGAAATTTATAGCTGTAGTACTACATAGAGCTGAGCTACACATGCAGGGCATCTTAGAGAACTACCCAATAAGGAAATCTCTAGCGGAAAATGACCATTAGCATGCTGATCCCAACCGCCTTGCTGAGCTCAGATGCGTTTTTGTGAAAGTGGGACAGCTTAGCAGGCAGCTCAGCCGTACAGCGGATCGACAAGGGCTGTGGTATTAATTCAAACTACCAATTGGTGGACCGACGTAGCTCATAGCTATCTTCAGAGGTGATTGACCATGGATCATCATCACATAGGACTTATACGGCGTATTAGAAATTAAGAAATTAATAGCTATCCTGCCACCTTACTAAGGGTATAAAAGCTTATATACCTCCCATGGACGTATTTTATGATATAGTCTAGATTCATCCTCTTTGTTCTCAATCCAGGCCTAGCCAACCAGTCCCAATCTCCTCAACTCAAACTTCATCGACTTTCCAATCAAACCTCAAAATGGGAAACCCACCGCAACTACCTCCCTTTCCTCGACAGATAGGCATAGTTCCGCATTTCTTCGCTAGGCAATCCGAAACGTTAATTCTAAAAGAAAAATGCTTGTCGCTATCGGGAAACAGCTTCGACGTCAGCCTCCCGAACGGTCAGCCCATCTTCAAAGTAAAGGGCGAGTCCCTCTCGTTCTCCAGCCGCATGAACATCACAGATACAAGCGGAAACTTCCTGTTCTGTATCCGCAAGAAGCACTTGAGCATACACACGACGTACTACGCCGAAAATTCCAATGGCGACGAGATCTTCGAAGTGAGGAGTAAATTTAGGTGTAAGTTTGCCATTCTGACGCCATCTACGGTTGACCAGATAAGGTACTATGCCAAAATAAAAAAAATAATCGCATATTAAACTAAAGTTAATAAAAGATCACTTGCCACAATTTAAAAAATATTAAATGTATATTTTTAAGCTTTATTACGGTTTATTATTATAAAAATATTGATTTAATTAATATAATATAAAAAATTAACCAATTAAATTAAAAGATTTAATTATTAATTTAATTTTTAATTATTACCGATATTTATAAATTTAAATAACTTTATAATTTTAATAATTATAACATTATAATTGGTATTATTTTATAACTTTAATTAAAACGAAAATAATTATTTAAATTATATATTTATATAATATATTATTATTAAAATATTTAAAATTTTTTAAAAACAATTATTTTAAAAAATATCACGTATACGTACAAATTATAAGTCTTTAAAATAATAGGTATTTAAATATAAAACAGTTTTTTACTTTTTTTAAAATGCGCGTTTTTTTATATATTAATTAAATTTTACACCGTTTATTTAATAATATTTTTATTTTTATCTTTATTTTTATTTTTACACCACATTTTTATTACAGTTTTATATTTAATTTAATTTAATTTAAATAACGATATAATAATTATTTATATATATTACTTTTATTTGGTTACATATATTAATTAAAAATTAAACGGTTACATATAATTATTTTAAAATAAAAAAATTAAAAACAAAGTTTTTTTAAATAATTTTTAATATATGTTAATTAATTGGCCAATTAAAAAGTTATATTATATAAAATTATTTAATTAATATTTTTTAAAATAATTATTTTTAAAATATTTTAAATATTTTAATAATAATATATTATATAAATATATAACTTAAATAATTATTTTCGTTTTAATTAAAGTTATAAAATAATATTAATTATAATATTATAATTATTATAATTATAAAATTATTTAAATATATAAATAAATAAAAATTAAAATAAACATATTTTTTTAAAACATATTATATATAACATTATAATGTATATATTTAAAAAAAATAATCTTTTTTTCCCATATAAAAATATAAAATACTATAATAATTCGAGCTAATTGCGCTAACTTATAGCTAACTACTCTTTTAAGCTAAGCTTACGGATTTTTTTCATTTTGGCATAATACCTTATCTGGTCAACCGTACCATCCCTGTCTGCTACTAGGATACCAGGATGACATTAGACAATTAACATGAGACATTATAGTGGGCGGCTCTAAGTTTATTGGTACATTTACTTCGGCCTCTGGTCAGCAGGAGGAGCTAGTGATGAAGGGTGACTGGACCGATACGACAGCCGATATTACGGACAAGGCCACCGGCCAAACCGTCGCGTCCGTTTACCGTGATCGCTGGAATGCGCGGGAGTTCCTAGCCGACCAGCAGACTTATAACGTTACTATCGCGCCGAACGTCGACATGGCTATCGTTGTCGCAATGTGCATCTGCCTAGACATGAAGAGGAATGAAGCTCCGTAGGGAGGATATATATGCGTTTAATGTTTGTACATTGGTTTAGAATTTGGAATTTGGTTATGACAAATATAAGCGGTGTTAATACCTTGGAGCGTTTTACCTATACGTTTTCAGGGGAATTTCGCGGGCGTGAGTTTTAATCTTTTTAGGGGAAGTTAATACTGATCTAGTACGGCTAGGTATCTTAATTCTAAGATGAGTTCCCTACGAGACTGCCTCAAATTCACCCACTTAGGCATAAACGCAGAGGGAAAACCACCAATCTGCCGCCCAAACCCAAACTAACTACCTACATAGGTACCTAGGTAGGCATCTTTGACAATATCCCTTCGCTTTATTCAGCCATCCTTTCTTCCTAAAAACGAGGTCAAAACGAGGTCGTAACTAGCAAGGTCATATGGGGTAAGCACCACTACGAACCCAATGTACGATGCACCTAGAGCGAGGGAACTGAACGGCCAACTTTGAGTAGAGTGAGCATACGTTAAAAATCAAAGTTGCCTTAACTAGGTATACTTAATATTCGACTTTACCATCTTTGAAAGCGGGCCTGAAATCGATGGCCTTTACCCAAGCCCTCCTTAGATCCCAGACTTTATCTAGTCTCCATCCGGAGACCCGAGCCAGGTTCTCCCACTGCTCTATCGTTCTCTCTCGACCACCGGCAGTCATCATCATATTTATATCCCCATATAAGCTCAATCGATTGGAATGTTCAGAGGATACAACCGATTCTAGGATAATCAATCTGCTACCGGGCTCTAGTACGATGCTTTCTCGGATATTTCTGAGAATCGCCGTGGCTTGGTTGTCATCCCAATCGTGGAGGCACCACTTCATAGTGTATATCGAACATATTGGAACAGACTTGAAAAAGTCTCCCGTAACAAGGTTTCCGCTGACACGGTCTCCGATATCCGAATATTGACCGCCTTGATGGAAAAAGGGGCGAACGTGATTAATGACTGGAGCGAGATCGAAAATTCCGCCCTGCATTGTTGGATATTTACGCAACAAGCCGGCCATGAACCCCCCGCCACCACCCCCAACGTCCATGACGAGAGTCTCGGCAACCTCATACCATGGATAGTCTTCAAGGATTCCGGGCATCTGAGCTGAGGCACCTCCGCTAAGGGTGCGATGCAACTCCGGTAACCAGCCCTGCTCGCGGAAGAAGTGAAACATGTCCTTATCGGTGTCAAAATGAATTTGGGCTGCTGTCCTGATTGCATCTTCCTTAACAGAACTCGGAATGCCCCGGGCGATATCGTAGAATTGATTTCCGTACAGGGTCGCCCAATTATGCCATTGAGTCCAGTGATGTGATCTCACAAGTGAAGAAGCAGCATTGTTCGAGTAGCAGCCGGTAGAGCTATCGAAGGCAAATATGCCTTCGCTATAAAGCATGCGCATAACTTGAACAAGCCTATCTTCGCGTGCGTGTGTTGCTCTTGCAAGCTGGTTAAGTGTCCTCGGGCCTTTCTCCAACTCGTCTGCGATGCCTCTCTCCACCACCGTCGCAAGACATTTGGACCTGACATAACCTGCAATTTATAAGCATATGATGTAGCAGATGGTGGAAAGTATATATACCCAAGAAGTGGTCTGCCAGGATGAGTACTGGGGGTTCGAGAAGCATTCGTAGTTCATGTAGGAGGTCAATGGCTCGAGCGGCCAGCCTCAAGTCTTCTCGATCGGGAAGAAGGTGATCATGGTGAAGAGCCTCTGTTAAAGAAGGACCAAGGGACTTTAACTTATCTAAATGATGGGCAAGGTGAGTGTTAAGGCTAGCAAGAGATCCAGTGACGCCTGGTACGTCTTTTGTCTCCTGACTAGGCTCTGAGTGGATTTGATCCGTCATGTTTGGGGTGCTGTTAGATCGTGTCGATGTCTAGAAGTAAACTAAAGGATATCATATAACTAAAACCAAAACGATTCGATATATATAACCTCCAACTCTCAAAGGAGAACCCTCCTTATAACGTGGTATTAACATTTGTAGTTCGCGCCCCGATCGGTGACCTTCGGCAGGGCCAGGTTGTGCATACATACATGTAACCCTACATACAAAGGTTTAGCCCTAGACCTTTTCGTATTGCGGCTTATGGGTGTTTCTTCGGCTTTTAATATTATGTATTGTGCTGGTTACCTAGGTACATGTAGGAGGTAGATAGACGCACTACCTACCTAAAGCATCAGCGGAATAACTAAGTTGTCTTGCGTCGCCTTCTAAGAAGCACCCTTTGCTCCATATTTGGAACGAACTGCCCTTCAATCTGAACCCTAGCTGGGCTACCGTGCTGCTTCCTGTCCCAATTTATTTCGTATTCGATTAGAAGCTTCGATATCACCAATTTTATCAACTTGACGGCAAAGAAACGTCCAGGACACACATGGTTACCATATCCCCACCTACAAAGTAATTAGCCAACTATTTTTCTTGTCGATGGAAGGAGACACGGACGGTAGGTTCGACATATCTACTGATGAAGCGGCCCACCTCTTCTCGCTATCATCGGAAGCTGTATCAGTTGAGCATTTTCTTGCAAAGCGAAATCCATAAAAGTTCAATGGATCCTCAATCTCGTTTTGTTCACGTTGAATGGCCATTGCAGGAAACCCGAAGCGCGAACCGACTGGCAGAGTCAACCCATCTGAGAATCGAAACGGGCTATCAAGGACGGTCCGTACGCAAGTAACTAGGCTGATTAGCGACAGTGCGTAGAAGTTGAAAAGGGAGTTTACTTGATCCAGTGGGGAAGAGCCGATTCGTTTCACGGATGTAACTATCTTGGAGGACTAGACTGTTGTCCATCTTGTCACACCAGCCGTGTTGATTCATGGCTTTAATAGCTTCTTCCCGAATATGCTTGATATCCTCCGGACGTGATAGAAGTTGATAAACAATCTCAGTTATCATTCCCCCGGGTGCAGAACTAGCAGCCCATAGGTTATGGAGTAGTTCCTTTAAAAACCGATCCTCATCAAGAGATTCTAAGTCCTGAGGTAAAAGATCTAAATTCCACCGAATTGCGTCAATGTTGTTTGCCTGGTGAAGCCCCCGGTGGTCCTTTAACCTCTTCCTAACAACTGGACGTAGAATGTCCATACAATGTCGAAGTCTGCGTCTGTGAAGAAGGCTTAAAGGCCGGGCGAAGAAACTGCGAAAGCGGCCCAACGGCAAATTTGAGATTACCAGAGCTGTGACAAATATGGATTCTAGGAAATCCGTCGATCGTCTGATGAACCTCTCGTTGCGGCACAACTCCTCACCGATTAACACCCGCGTTACTGTTCTATGCGCTACTTCACCAAAGAAAGCTGTTGCCTTGACTTCTTGCCATTCTAGGTATGCCGTCAGTTCTTCTCCAAGCTCAAAAGGCTTTGGATGAATTATTTACCTGTACTAGACCCAAGCAGCTTTTCGAACGAATAGTCGATTTCCCTCACGATTAGCGGCGTTAATGTTTCTGCACAGGTAAGCTCAACTACCCAAGACATGGTAGAATGTGCATGCTTACGGATTCGAGGGTTCAACCCCCTTTTTATGACATCCACCATCATCTGTGAAGAGTTGGCAGTATACAGGTCACCGGCGCTTACCTGTAGATGCAGAGACTACTTTCGTTAGGACTAGGTATGCCTTTCCATAAAATGGGGGGTTGATAAATACATTACTAATGCTCTCGAAGAAGCTGAGGTGGCGCCAACTGGCTCCTCTGATGTCTTTCAGATATTTTGGTGGCATTACAATGAAATCATTTGCCCACCACCGTACAACAAAAGGCTCCCTCCCTTTAACCTATAGACAAGTGTTATGAATAAATTCCCCTAGAATGTAGTCTTAACACACCTCGTCGTATCCAATCTGGACAACTTCGTGAATAGGTTTTCTACTAAATATCACCGGGGTATATCTCTTGAAACTTCTGTATATTGGATCCGAGCTTCTTGATGTCCAGAGTAGTAACAAGACAGCGAGAATGCCGCAAATGAGACTAAGACGAACCACGGCCGACTCATTGTGAGGTAACTCCATTATAAAACAATGTCCATGGACTAATCCGTGTGTACCTAAGGTATACGGTGCTATTCGAAGCACACACTCCTAGGTGGCTAGCAATATATAATGAATAATACATAGCCTGTTTCGTTTCGGGCAGCTTACGGGAAGTATGTGAAGCGAGGGTGGCCGGGGAAATGGGGCGCGGTCGGGCACCGAAAGGTCAGTATTGTCAGAATGAGGCTACCATTCCTTAAAGATTTTGTGATTATAAGTTATTCTTTTTCATCCAAGTATCCAGGCCATCATTATTTCATCTACGTATCTGTATACTTGTTCTTTTCTTTATATCACACATTCCAACATATCCTGTACCCCTGAAGTGACATGGGGTCTGTTTTCCCCAACACCGAGTTAAAGGAACCTGATTCCTCGATCTTTCCACACGTGCTACTATGGATTTGCCAGATAGTTGCGCTCACATGTCCCCCATTTCGTGGCCGAAGATTGTGTTTTGCGTCACTCATCATCGCCCTGGCTACTTACTGCAACGCTCACCCACACTTTACTAATGATTTTGGGTTAGCGCAGCCCTTTTCTCTTGCTTGGTCATTCTACATGGCCGTATTGTCCAAGCTTATGTTCTCTGGACCCTGTGGCCCCGAAGAGAGGTTTTGGAGAGCTAATGGACCTACGCGGGAGGCACAGGCATATTCGGCCTTTGGATGGAAGAAGATGCGGTGGGCGGCAGTCCTGATGTTCAATCAACGTGGTATTAGGTGGAATCACCAAGTTAAGAATATACCGGGGTCGCCGAAGATGACTCGATCACAGTTTCTAGCCGCTCAGCTCGGGAAATTCATCGGATGCCTCTGCATGGCGGATCTTTTGTTCGAAATTCATCGAAGATTGAATTTAACTAGTCCTGACGGTCAAGCTGGACACATAAATAGTAAACACTTGACCATTAAACACCATGATTGGCGCTGGAGTCTAGCAAAGACCTTTTCATTTGCATTCCTACCATACTTTATGTTGAGTATGCAGTATGCGCAAGGGGCATTTATCTTCGTCTTATTCAAACTAAGCAAAGCAGAGGTAATTGTAAAGCAATGTGTCTTAGCAAGCTTCTACCGCTAATACAATTATTCTCCCAGGACTGGCCGCCGGCTTTCGGGGCTATGCAGAACCTGGTCACTGTACGGCGATTTTGGGGGAGTTTTTGGCATCAGCAATTAAGACATGTAAGTAAACGGAATCGCGCTTCTCCCTACCACCTTACCAGTTGGGGTGACTTTGTCTGCTGAGGGCCCAACTTGTACTTCATATAAGATCCATACTGACTGCACGGTTCGTAGATGTTCACGTCGTATACTGACGTCTTCGCGGATTCCTTCGGTATCCGACGGGGCACCAACCTCTCTTCCTATACCAAACTCTACCTCGCTTTCTTGATCTCGGGATGTTTTCACGCCTTAGGGCAACTTCATCTTCCTCGTCCATCAGACGTCACCTCAAGAGAATGTTCTATTGGATTTCTCTTGTTCTTTCTGTGGCAGGCCGTTGCGATTACTGTTGAGGATATTACGATATGGGCTATGCATAGAAATAGTGCGAGCGAGAGTAAAGGGAGGGTTCCGAAATATTACAGCATAGTGGGTTATGTCTGGGTGTTTTTGTCTATGTGGTGGAGTCTACCCCTGGTAGGTGATGCCGTACTTAAGCTTCGGGTCGGCACTGGATCTTTTCTGCCCTTCCCGCTCACAAGGCCATTTGTCGAAGCTTACGTACCGGTTCCACCATGAAAGTCGAGGTAAGGGTAAGGGAATGATCAAAATATTAAATCAAGAAATGTGTGTTGAACTAGAGTGCTGGCTAAGTCTCAGAAAAAAGGCTTTACATCGTCCTCCAGAGGATGAACCATGATCATTGACGCAGCAACAACTTCCACTCGATCCAACACTCTAATAAGATTAAGACCCATCACACCTAGTATATCGTCCCTTCGAAGTCCTCGTAATTGTAATTCTTTGACGAGATTTGGATATTTCGAAACATCTTCTAGACCCCTAGGACTTGATGCCATGCCGTCAAAATCAGACCCAATCCCAACATGTCGATATCCTATCATGCTACCGATATATTGAATATGGTCGGCGACCGAACTTAATGTAGCCTTCGTGGGATCATTCTCTAAGAACGAAGGATAGAATGTTACCATTATGATACCGTCGTTTTTCTTAAGAGACCAGAGTATATCATCTGGAACATTTCGAGTATGAGTGCATCTCGTGTATGCGTTTGAGTGGGAGAAAATGATAGGTGCAGTTGATATATCCAGAGCATCACGCTGTGTTTTAAAGCTTGTATGTGATAGATCCACAATCATTCCAAGGCGGTTCATTTCTTTTACCATCTTTTTCCCAGCCTCTGACAGACCGCCATGAAGTGGTGTCAAAGGTTCTTCGCTATCCGCATAGGCATTATGGCAAGTATGAGTAAGGGTTGCGTACCTAACGCCCAAGGAATAGTACATGCGTAATATGCTTGCACTATTGCCAAGTTGATGCAAACCTTCAACACCTAGTAGCGAAGCTATTTGTGAACCAGAACGAAATATCCTTCGAATGTCGTTACTTGAAGACGCATGCGCCAGAAAGTTGGGATACTCTTTCACTAATCGATGAACAAGATCAATCTGTTGCAAAGTATCATGTACAATTTCTCTGTAAACGCCGTCCGAGTAATTTCCATGTTCACTTGGACTAATACGCTGTTAGGGATGACATAGGGTGCTTACATCTGGGATAGGGAGAAGTACCACTCCACATATACACTCCAAAACTGACCTCGTAGATTTCCCGTTCGGAGACGAGGGAAGTCAACCTGCCCATAAAGTTTTCGACTTTGACTGAAGTTTTGTTGATATATGTGATTGTTGTAGAAGGCTCTGATCCATATTGGAAAATCATTGTGGCCATCTAGTAATGGGAAATGTCAACACTTTAAAAGGAACTCTTATGTGAATGTGTTGTTAATGCTAATAAACTGACCAATTAAAGGGGCCATGTCGAATAAATCCTCGGTGCCACATTGCTCCAGAACAAAAGTCTCTGGGCGACGGAGAAAGAAAGCTAGAAACACTAGGGATATGAGGGAAACAGCTATAGTGTATTTAATCCTCCTGGGAAAATCCCAACACACTCGCCGTGTCTGGCTTTCGCTCTGCTTGATACAGTCTTCGTAAGTCGAGGAACACGAGGGAAAAGACATTTTGGCATGTCCCATATCAAGATCAATGGTTTGGGGAATTGGGATTTGAAACGAGGCTCCCCATATGTGCTTTAGCTATATACATATTTTGGAAAAGAAAAAGCAAAGAGAACGCTTGTTCCGGGGTTTAAAGGTGTTTTTTATCATCGGGCCCCGGCGTTCCAGGTAGCTGAGGTATCGTGATACCATCAATTATTACTAGAGCGAAGCCTACATTAATTGGTCAATATTTTCAAAAAGGGACCAGCGTCAAAGCCGTTCCACTCCTTTATGCCCCGTAATCATGTATTAATTACACGTAATTATATGATAAGTACATTGCTGCTTCTGAAGTCGTGTTTATTAAGCGACGGCAACTACACAATTTTGATCGTGGCATCTATATTACTGCTGGGTAACCGGCAATCCTTTCTCCTGCTTTTTTTCCTCCATTCCGAAATCGGTTTCTAATTCCATGCTGAGTACCAAGTCTTTCTCGATGAACACTAAGATGAATGCAAGGGCAGCGATTCCAGCGGCAACTTGCCATAATGTTTTCAACGCAGATGCATATACGCTGTGCACCTGTATCATCGTCTGGTCAGGAAGTTGGGTGATTGCGCCTGTACCTGCAAAGCCGTATGCTGCACCATTGCGGAGCTGGAGGCGGATGGCCTCATCTTGGACCCAGTGAAGATTCTGATCAATGCGTGCATTGAAAATGATTGACGGGAGAGTAATCCCCCAAACGAAACCAAAGTTACGAACAAAATTAAACGTGCCTGTCGCTGTGGCCGCGTATGTCTCGGGTAGAGAGGCTTGGATAACAGGGAGAATACTGATCAGAGTACAGCCAGCACCAACTGAAAGGATAAGCTGGAAAAAGACCCATTCCACTGTAGGAGAACTGGCGTCCAAGATAGATAGCAGTCCACAGGCTACGGATGTAGATGCAAACCCAACCCAATGGATCGGCTTGTACTTGCCGAATTTTGACATTATCCCACCTGTTACAACCGCCAAAGGAACATAAAATATGCTGAAGGGAAGGACATCGACTCCTGATGTCAGAGGCGATGCAGCTTTGAGGGTTTGAAAGTAGATGGGAAGAAAGTACACCACCCATTCTAGCAACCCGCAAGCGACGAAGGTCAAAAAAAGACAAACAACAGAAGTCCGATTTCCAAACAGCAGCGGTGGCATGCTCGGCTCCTTGCAAGCGGGGGAGGCCTGATGGATGTGAAAAAGGGCCCAACCGCTGAAACCAAGAACCAGAGGCACAATGATATGCCAAGATGACCAGGGGTACAGTGTTCCACCCATGATGAGCCCAAAAAGGACCGCGATGATGGAGGCGACAAAGATAAGATTACCGAGAAAGTCAACGCGCGCTAACTTCTTCGCCCATGTAGGCTCTCGCTTATGTTTCAATCTGAGGAACGGAACCATTATGAACAGAGCTATGCCTGAGAAAGGGAGGTTAATAAAAAATACCCAGCGCCACGAAGATTGCCCTAGGGCGCCACCTAGAACAGGTCCAATGATAGTCGCTATTGTTGCGATTGTAATTCGGAAGCCAAGGAACTTGGATCTCTCCCGAACTGGCACGAGATCGCAGATAATCAAGTCATTTAGCACGAATATGCCTCCACCGCCAAGTCCGGTGACGACCCTTGATGCTATTAGCATGGCAGAGCTGACCGAGGCGCCAGCAAGAGCATTGCCAATGGAAAAGAGTATCACAGATATGATCATTGGCATTCGGCGACCGAAGATGTTGGACGTCTGTCCGACGAACGGCATCACGGCTGTCGAAGCGAGGACATACGTGTTCGCCAGCCAGACATACTGTTGCTCTCCATGAATCGCAGCTGTGATCTTAGGGAGTGCGGTGGTAATTATGGTGGCGTCTAAGGCAGTCGTAAAATCAACCAAGCAACCAGATAGGATGATGAGCCAGAACCGCAAGCCTCTTGAAGTTTTAGGCGTAAGTTCTACAACCGGGACAGGAGACGGGTTTTCGGCTAGGGAGTCTATGGCCGAAACCTGTACCGCCGAATCTAGGGGCTCGTCATTTTTCAGTTCATTAGCCATGGGCGCGTAACTTAAAATGCGAATATGTCCCTAGGAGTAAAGGTCAAGTCGTAGTTTTCAAGTGGTTGGGATGGAATATTTTAGAAAGAAAAAAAAACTTGATAACTAATGGGGCTGACACCCGAGGAGTGAATTGTAGATGATTTCAGAATACTAGCATAAACCCCGAGAAACAAAGATCTATCATTATAAGGTGGACTGAGGTGGTAAGAATCACTCCCTAAGTCGCCTGTTATGAGGGTTCAGGCCGTGGTACATTGCCTCGCCTATGCAACTGGAACCTGCCACCGCCACGGCTACCGGTCGGGTTCCGAGCTTCAAAATGATGAAATTATGCCCACGCGGTGTAACATAGGTTAGGTAGGCATGATCCATTGGATGCTGAATCAATTGTTTGTAAATATACATGTGTTAGGTGGCCTGGAAACTCTGTTCTCCTGTAATTATTCGTGCATAGCGCGTTCTCACGACCTCAACACAATCAATCAGACCATCTGGAATTTGATACCAATACTGCTTCATCTTAACGTTCTAATAGTACGCTCGCCAGGTACATGCGCTTATTTGACCTAGATTGGCCTGAAAAAGTCGCTGAGGTCCAGTAATCAATCAACTACAAGTAATCATAAACAAAAGGGAAATAGAATCGATTATACCTCGATAAAGAAAGCTACTTGACAGGATACCTCCACCCCATCGGTTAGAAAATGCAAGGTTGACCGGCGTCCTCGGCTTGAATCTGCGCACAGACTGCCGCTGCTGCTGCCGAACCAGAGAATAGGGACTGTGGAATGATCTTGATAGGGGACGCTCCATCCCCACTCACAAAGACACCCTTTCTTGTCGTTTCTAGGAAGATAGGTTTGCTTACGGGATCTCCCATCGGAGTCATTTCGAGTCCAAGTTGTTTATGGAAGTCCCCCTTCGGCTCTGTTTTAGGCTTGTGTCCCAGGAATCCCTCGGTAGCCTTTTCGCCTCCTTCGAAATGGATTATGACATCTGCAAACCCTGGTCCTTTCTCAAACCTTGTGATACTCCTGTTGTCTACTTTGAACAACTGGTTTGATCTTTGAGCTTCTTGAATAGCATGCTCTAACTCGTGAGAGCCGTGCGTATAGATTGTGATAGACTTTGCGAACCGGGATGCCGTTCTAGCAGCGTGCAAGATGGCAGGAGCGCTGGTTAGGTCTGGAAGAGCCAAAATCCCGGCCGTCGAGACACCTTTTGCTTCATATCCTTTACAGAAGAAGCAGTGGTATCTGGGGTTAACTTAGCAAAACGCCGCTCTGTACATCAGAAGTAACCAGTAAGACTCACATTCCCTTAGCCCAACACTCCGCGTAACCTTCTATATCGGGAAAGACATCACGGACGCCGTTAGCAAGGATGATTTTCCTTCCAAACCAAGATCCACCATTTCGGTCCGTGGCCCTGAATGTTTGCTGAGTGGCGGTGCTCTTGACTTCCTCGAGAGATACAACTTCGACCTTTTGAAAGTTAATAGTTGAGTAGTATTCCAAGATGTTCTTCTTCGCTGCAGCCCGAAAGTCTTGCGGGTCTTCATGATCCCATGTTAGAACATTGTACATATGTGGGCTCGGAGCATTTCGATAGACCTGTGAGTCAAGAACGACTGCGGTGTGTTGCTGCCTAGCCAGTGTGAGAGCGGCTGCAAGTCCGGATATTCCTCCACCTACGATCAGAGCATCAAAGACTTTCGATGAATCAGTTGACGCCATATTGTTGTAGTAAGAGACGTAATTGGGCTTGAATCAATTAAATCTTCGGCAATTGGTAGGTTCACTAGGTATGTATATCATAGAAATATTAAATCGAACTACTTGTTTTACAATTTGTGCCCGGGAGCCGTTAGTGGATACTCCCGTCGCAGCACCGTCTAAGTGGGCCCAAATATCCGGTGACCGATCCGCTCCGCTTCATTCTTCCCGGTTTGGTGGGGCTACCAAAGAGTCCGGGGCAACTTCGCTCAACTATCAGTAATCCAAAGCAGTAGTGCGTGACTGTTTCCATAATTTTTTCGACTGTCAACTCCATTATCATCCTGTCGAAAATGGCCCAAGAACAAAAGACTTACGACGTTATTATTATCGGTGGGAGCCATGCCGGCCTTTCAGCGGCTCTTACGTTATACCGTGCCCTGCATACTTGCCTGATATTCGACGATGGTACTCCTCGCAATGCCCTTTCTGCCCAGACCCGCCTCACGTCTGGATGGGAGAATCAAAACCCGGGTAGCTTTAGGGAAGCATCGCGCAAAGAACTTCGAGAGACAGGTCTCGTTGAATTTATTTTCTCTCGCGCGATCCACGCTAAGAAAGTACTGGATGATGTTTTCGAGGTCATAGATGAAGCCGGTGGTAAATGGACATCTCGGAAGATTTTACTAGCAACTGGAGTCATTGAAAAATATCCAGATATCCCTGGCTACGCAGATCATTATGGGACTACCATGTAAGTCATTCACATAGCCTTAGAGGGTCCCTAGATGTTGGATATTGACCCCGGCACTCATATCTAGCTTCAATTGCATGTTCTGCTATGGGTACGAGCAGCGTGGCGCCACGACCGCCGGGCTGCTTGCGGTAGGCTTGCTTTCTAACCACGCGCACGCCCTCACAAACGCCCGCGATGCTCTTAAGTTCGCAGACACTGTCACAATATACACGGATGACAACCAGCCATTGGCAGCTGAGATATTGGCTAAACTCGACAGCGGGCTACATGTAGATAACAGGAAAGTGAAACAGCTACACGGTGGTCGTGATGGAAGCGGGCTGGTAATCGAATTCGACAGCGGCGAGCAAGAAAGTCACGCTTTTATCGTACATAAACCAGACCTGGAGTTAGATAGCACATTGCCCCTACAGTTAGGCTGCGAACTTTCTCCTGGCATTGGTGTCACGGTTAACCCACCCTTTAACTCCACCACCATTCAGGGAGTGTTCGCTGCTGGCGACTGCTGTTCACCATTGCGAAATATTCCAAATGCCATGAGCATGGGATCATATGCTGGGTGTGGGTTAGCAAGAAGCATACCACGGGTTGCGAACAAATAACAGGATCCAAGTGTCAATGGTAGATATTAGGCTAATTTGTGGGAACTATAAACAATTATTCGCAAATAGAATGGTGATGACTTTGATTATTATGTCTACGTACGGGACAACTAGAAATAACCTAAAGGGTCGCGTGTACTATTTTCATTTTCAGCTAGAGCGGGGCTAGGTGCGAATATTGCTTCATTCATGTGGCTGCAAGCAATCCTGACATTACAGGATTATACCATACAGAACGTGAGTTTTCTTGCGCTGGCTGATATCTCAGCCGGGCACCGAAATGCGGCGAAGCAAAGGCTTTCTTCCCCCAATCCCGGCCCCAATCGAAAGGTGACCGTAGTGACACAGCATAAGATATCCGTCACATTCACTCTGTACAAGAAACAATTGCTTTTCAAGCTGCTCAACCCTATTTTATTGCTCAATAACCACACATCGTACATTCCACTACCTGCTATTATAATCAAGAGGGGATCGTCGAGGAAAATTGACATCATGTTCAAAGCAACGAACAGTCATCAGTTGATGATTGTCATTTTCCCAGTTGTAGCAGTACTCGTTGCGACAGTTTGTGTCGTTTTGCGGTTCCGTGCGAGGCAGTTACAGCAGCTAAAACTCATGTGGGACGACTGGCTATGTCTTACCTCACTTGTAAGTGTTCACGTCCTGTGTGATTTTTGAATATGTACCTAGGTATTTACTATTCCGCAGGTATTGACATGGGCATTCCAAGGAGTCAACCTCGCGGCTGTCTTTGTGGGAGGTGCCGGCCTTCCAATGTCAACAGTTATTAGCACCAACCCGAATGCGTTGGCGACGTTCCTCAAGGTACAATAAATCACATTGATCATACTTGACCTTAAGTAATGAAGGTTGCATCTGACGAATTATCTGTTTTTTTCCCTTCTAGATTGTCCTCGCGAACTTCTCGTTATGGATTGTGACTGTGACTATCGTCCAACTCTCCATTCTGTCCTTCTATGTCCGAATTTTCGGGGTTCATGCTCCCTTCCGTCGAATCTGTTACGTTTTTATTGCTCTCATTGCGGCGTTCGGTATTGCTGGTTTCTTCTCAGAAGTCTTTTCCTGCCTACCTGTCAGCAAAACGTGGAATCCGTCAGAACCAGGCCACTGCGTTTCCTCAAAGCCATACTGTACCTCCATTGGACTGATACACTGCCTGTTCGACTTGGCCATCCTCGTTCTTCCTTTGCCTCTGATCTGGAACCTCCAGGTAGCGACACGAAGCAAGATTGTCATATCCGTTCTGCTGACGCTGGGCCTTATGTGAGTCTCACCCATTCCCTTAACTTCTCGTGGTCGGGCCTAATAGTGTACTAGAGCTACAATAATATCTCTGTTAAAAATAAGCTGCTTGATTGATCTAAGCGGAATTCCTCCCGAGGATGTAACTGGCAACCTGTGGCTGACAATTCTACTCCAAACCCTAGAACTTCCTATAGGTATCGTTTGCTGTTGCGTCCCCATCTTAAAGCCCGCGGTAGCAGGTATTTCACCGCTATTCCGATCCATGGCCAGTCGCCTGTTGACCTACACGCAAAGGAGTCGCAGTACGGCGAATAGGTCACAAAGATCGGATTTGGAGTCTAAATACCGCCAAGATTCGACTGTTGGCTTCAGTCGTCTTGAAGATACATCCAGCCAGATTGAGCTAGGCAGCCTAGGCAATAAGTTATCTATTCAGGCAGAGGGACACGAAATGACATCAACCCTAGGAACAAACCCCAAGCACGAAAGAGCTATTAACGTTACAAACTCCTATACGGTTAGCAAACAATGAAGAGATGCGGCTACAGGGACAGTGCGTGTTGCTGGCGTATTAGGTACTTTATGTCTTCCATGACGCTACTGGTGGCTATAATGATATGTTGGGCAAAGCTTATAATCGTGTCTGAGAGGTGAAGATAGGCAGTGACGGTGGCTTGGGTGGAGGAATTTCTTCATAGGATTGTATTATTTTCCGCGCTTATCACTCGGGTAGCTAGTATCGACGTAAAGTCAACATTTAATCTCCCTCCATTTGGCCGCTCAAAGCGCCTGACTTAAGTCATTAATTATGTACTACCCAGGTACTTATATTAAGTGTTTTGTAGATATAGGAGGTAGGTGGTGTTTGGAGATCCAAAATACTTATATGTATCAGGGGCTATAATTACCTAGGTACCTACATAATCACCCGGATTAGAAGCACCCCTGGCGGAGCTGCACAATAGCCCAAGTTTACGTTCATAGTAAAAGCCGAACGAAAAGATAATTTGAAACTTTAGAATGCACCCAATAAAATTGCTTTAGGAAATATCCCTCGTCAACTCGGGCACTCCCCTAGGTAAGGCACCTTAGGTACCTGAGGTAGTTAAGTAAAAAAGAAACTATTAGCTAAATCGTCCCTTGCTTGATCTATCATTTTCCGGCAAGCAACGGTATAATATATACCTCGTAAACATTAACAATGAATTTTATATGTGGTTACATTACTTTCAAAATTGCAGCAGTTTCATTGGTCCTTTAAAAGGTGCATACGGACCAACAGGTACGTTGTGGGATTGAGAAACCGGATGCCGCCCCCGCCTAGAATGTGAGGTTGTTGTAGGCTTGTAGCTATCCCGCTACCATATCGGGCGCCGACAGGCTCTTTATTCCTGTTTTAATAGACGAGGCTGCGTAGCTACCTTGTTGCTCAAAATTGAGTAAATATATTAAAACCTCCCTTTCCCCTATCTCATTCCTCGTTGGGAATCACTCCACCTCAAATCTCTTTCTTCTATCCATAAAGTCCTCATCATTCATATCCTGACTACCACATTCGACTCTAACAATGGCGTTCCAACCGAAACAAATTACCCACTATCAGGCCGAGCATCTGGCTGAGCTTCAGGGAGGTGTCAGCGAGACTTCCATCAAGTATTGTCTGGATCTAATCCCTGCCATCTCCGAGGGCGCCGTGATCCACGACAATGCCTGCGGCTCCGGTGCTGTTACAGAGACCATCATGAGCATGAACCCTTCCAACATTCACATCGACGCCACCGATATTAATCCCGAATTCGTGAAGGGCTGCGCGGCAGTAGCGGACAAGAACGGGTGGCCCGTTACCGCTGCCGTCATGTCAGCTCAACAACTTACGTTTCCTGACGATCACTTCACCCACTCCATAACTAGCTTCGCCTTCCACTGCATCGGCGACCAGAACGCAGCTGCAAAACATATCTACCGCACACTTAAGCCGGGTGGTACTGCTGTTGCTACTGTCTGGATATTCATGCCTCATGTCGAGGCCCTGCAACACGCACACTGGCGCACGCGAGGCAAGGATGCCCCTATGCCTGTTCTTCTTCCCCTAGAGCATTACGATGAAGGCGATTTGCGAACGGCGCTCCAGGCTGGTGGATTCAAGAACGAGAATATTACCTGCTCGAATAAGGAATGCTACTTGACGGTACCCGATCTCAAGAGATGGGCGCAGCTGGCGTGGAGCTACTTAGGTAACGTACCAGGTGGATGGACCCAGAACGACGAGGATAAGTGGGATGAGGCCCTCGAGGATATCGTGGAGCAGCTGACGAGTGGTGACGGGATCTCGAAGAATGAGAAGGGCGAGACTTTACTTAAGATGGTCGCTTGTGTTGCTGTCGCTAAGAAGTAGACAACTTCACGTAGTGTGCCATGTCGTGTCTGCACTACGTACTACTTGTCTGATTCGGAGATAGCACAGAATAGGATTTGTTCAAACTATTTTAGTATACCTCTATAGTATACCTAATATATACGAGTCTGTTCGGATATTTTGTAGTTCACAATCATAAACAGACTAGTCAATCTTTTGTCGATATGTCTGACTATAACGCTACCCGGCCATCAAGAGAACTGCAAGTTAACTTCTAACAGGCTGTCGAGCCCACACTGCCACCATTTTCACATGAACTCCTCTGTCTTCTAACTCTCTCTCAACCTCATCCCGCAACGCCCTAAACTCTCCATCCAGACTTTTGCTAGTGTTCCCTAAGTCTATTAGATATATGGATATATATTTTTGGACACTTATTATAGAATTCCGTCGAATACTCACCATGCAGGAAAGCCCAAACACCTTTCAGTGCTGACAGTAAGTGTGACGAGCCCTTCTCAGCCAGGGTCGCGTCATGGCATACGGTTCCATATGGAATACTAAAGGCCCTTTCTTGCACGTCTTCTAAGCCTTCATCCTCTAAGTAACCTTTCAACGACTTGCCGAAGTCACTTCCCACCCCAATGGTGTCGAAGAAGGTCTTCATCAGTGTCTCATATTTCTGCATAGCTGGGCCATTTGGGGATTCGCAAGTAAAATCGGCTTCGATCAGTTCAATCCAACCGCCCGGCTTGATTAAGTTTACAAGTTTGGCCACGCAATCTTTGACGGGGGTCTGCCCCGCCCCAACGAGTGTCAGTCGCTGGTGCACGTAATCGAAGCTTGATGCCCACTCGCGTGGCCAGTCTTGAGTTATTGATTGAACTTGCAAAGAAACCCCTGGGTGGTCCTTGGGAAAGAAAGCAGCATTGATATCCGTCCCCACGTACGTGTGGGATGTATCAAGGGATTCCTGCAGCTCCCGCAGCCACAAGCCTGTTGAACACATCATGAATTAATTTGGTACTCCTGCTTCTGACTGGGTACTCTAAATACAAGATGTTAGAGTCGAAACTCACCATCAGCTGTCCCGGAGTCGAGGATGCGAAGATGGCTGGAGAAATCAACTGGTGCTAGTACCAATGTGCCCATAGAAGCTTTCAGTACAGCATGTTGATCGGCCAGTCTCTGTAGTTCGCCCTCGTTTCCTTCTAGAACATATTGTTCTTGGGCCCCGGGAGTTCCCATGGTGTGAAAGGATATATGATAGAGTGGATTGGCGACAGCGGGAACAAGATATTTCCGGGAATTGACGGGCCGTTTCTTTAGTGGTACTGGACGAAATATAGATAAAGTCTCACCATTCAAATTTAGGTAATTTATGATCGGAAGCCGGCTGACAGGCGTAGGCCGGATCCCGGGAAGTTACTATTATACGTTTACAAGCCAAAGGCGAAAACGCTGACATTGTTACGAGATTACCTCAATTTGGTATCGACTACCTTAGTATGAAGGGCATCGTAAATATATTTGAACAAGTGTAAATTCGTGAACGAAAGCCTTGTTCTTCTATATCTTGGAATCGTCAACCGAATATCCATTGGCGGTTTCTGGCGTGCCTATTCCATTTCGGAACCATGTCATTCGATTTTGTACCTAGTCAAGCCATCACAAAAGATGTTGATCTTTATGCCGAAATTACCTCGAACTCTACTTTGGATGTTTTCTCTAAAGTATTGGATTCTCAGGCACTAGCTAGACCGGGAATTCGCATCCATGACAACGGATGCGGAGCTGGTGAAGTCACCTCTGTGATTATGAGTTCCCCCCATTCCCCCGATATATTCATCGAAGCCACCGACATCGATGAATCTTACCTACAGCGGCTCCGGGGCCATGCCCTCCAGAACAAGTGGCCCGTAAATGTCACCGCCATGAAGGCCGAAGATCTTACATTCGCAAGCGAGAGCTTCGATATCTCGGTCGCGAACTTTCTGCTCTTTATGACACAAGATGATGGGGTTACGGCACTTCGACACATGCATAGGACGCTGAAGGAGGGCGGCGCTGCAATCTTTACGTCCTGGGCTCACCTGCCACACAGTGAGACGGTCAAGGCCGCACACCTCGCAACCCGGGGCGTTGATGCACCCCCGCTGCGAGAGTACCCACCGCAGTGGCAACTGGGGTCGCATATGGGGAACATCGCTGCTCTCTCGGGATTTGAGAATGAGAAGATCGAGCAGAAGTCAGTGAAGGTATACATCAACGTGGAGGACACAGAGCGCCTGGCACAGGTCATGTGGAGTTTCCTTGGACGCCCGGCTTCGGGATGGCTAGAATCAGATGAAGAGAACTGGGACAGGGCAATAGAGACCATCCGGAAGAGTTTCCTCGAAGACAAAGGGTATACGATGTCAGAGTCTGGTCAGCTGAAGATTGAGCTAGTAGCTAACGCTATTATCGCCCGTAAATAGTCCCGTAAATAGTCACATGCAAATTCCGACTATTCTCCCTGCAACCAAGTTCAACTTCTGTCGCGGCTTAATACCAGAAAATTGCCAAGGTGCCAATTTCGGGACGCGAGGGCTGTGTACGTATATACACTATACAAACTAACCGCCCAAGTACTCACACATCCTGCAAAAGTTCTTATTGGCCGGGCCTATCTCCGAAGCAAGGGGAACATTACCGGTCATTAACTAATATTATCGGGCCCCGAACTTCGGGTCCCGATTGCAGTGTTCACTTACGCGACCCTCCATATAGGTTAAGGTACCTAGAATTTTTTAAAACCATAAGGCTAGCTACATATGTACATGTATGTACGCATGAATGTATTTAATGTTAATGAGGTAGGTGGTACATGTGTTGTTGGACACCAGGGGTGTTATATATAGCACTTAGTTCCTATATGTCTATCGGTTATACCTTGGCCTATAGACCTACTAGAAGGCCTACACGTACGCGTGCCATTGTTTACAGAACGCAACGACAGATGCATCATCGGTTAATATACGCGTTGTACAACGTATGTAGTGCATCTGATCTCGCCGTTTAAGTTTAATAATATATGTATGTTGCGACGAGTATCATATTTGAGTGGATGTATGTCAATCTTTGAAGTTTAGAGGTCCTCCAGACGTACCCTATAAACCTCACTCAGATCGACAAATCACCAGCGAATCCCTCTATGTTTTCTGTAGCCACTAGACAACATCTTGCAATTTCGAGCGACGTGCCATCAACAATCATTCCTAGAGCTGTGACAACCAATTTTCTGAGCAACACAATATTACTATTGTCAAAGCAGTCGTCACTGTATTCGAATCATACAATCAAGAGATCATCACTGACAACTATAAACTCAACCATGAGCTTAAATTTCAACCCTTGGACCCAGACGTAGAGTGGGTTGACATCGATGTCGGCCATACCCAATTTACTAAAGCTCTCATGATAAGATACCATGACGTCGAACGAGAGTGTGTCTAGTAAGGTTGCCATAGTTCCAAGGGTCTTGCTAAGTAGGTCCCATGGAACAGCATGACTGAGTGCCTCCTGACTAGACTGTTGAAATACCCTAAGGAAGTAGATGTGGCATACTGAATTCGCACGGGGGAGAGGCTTAAGGAATAATTTCACTGCATTCTGTGAACCGTAATCGTCTCTTCCCAGGAGTGGTGCTCCAAGAACCATGTCGATTGTATCTATATGGTGCTGCCAACGAGATTTGGTATGGAGTATTGAGGACTCGGAGAGTAGACTCCTATGCTTATTCAGTAGTAGGATACTGGAATACCCATCAATCAAGGCGTGATGGACACTCCAAATAAAAGTACTCTCGTTTCTCTGCTTGTGGCAGTAAAGCGCTTATCAGGATCTCATTAGCCATGATTAGATTACCTAGGTAAGTTTCGAGTCATCTATTTTCGGGCACCGATATGTAGGTAGGCTTTATGAAAAGACGCAGCCACCTGCCTTTCCCAGAATACACTTACTTACCCTGAAACGATGTATCTTTTGAATTTTCCAAGTCGTGAACTTCAAGTAACGCATTTCATCATCATCTAACCAGTGCCTTGTAGTTGTGGTAAAACTACTGCTACCCATACCACAAAATGACAGTTTTTCGGACGTTGACATCACCAAAAACCAGTGTGTGGTATCTTGCATACGGCTCAAACTTGAGCTCTACTAAATTCACCCACGACCGCGGCATAGTCCCTATATCTATAAGGCCTGTGACAGTCCCGGGATGGACATTGTCATTGGATAGTGCTGGGGTGCCATACTCAGAGCCTGCTTTTGCAAGCATATCACCAATCGATCAGTCAGAGAACGAGAAATATGATCAGCTGGTTGGGACAGCATATGAGCTTACCCCCGACATGTATACCAAGGTCCTCGCATCAGAGGGTGGAGGGATCGCATATGCAGAAATCGAAGTAAGGGCGCAGGTCCTGCATGGCGATAATACGGAGCTTCCTCGAGGAACTATCGCTACCTTGGCCACAAGATCTCTAATAACGTTGCTAAGAAGAGAAGCTAGGCCAAGTATTCGGTATATGGTATTTGAATGGTTCTGCTCTATTACATGATGGACCATGCTAACACTGCATTTGCTAGGGTCTTCTCCGTGAAGGTGCTGCTGAATCTCACATGCCTATCTCGTACCAAAAGTTTTTAGCTCAAATACCAGTATATCATCCATCCAGAAAACCTTTTCGTCGAGTTGGGGCTGCTATGTTCCTCGCTTTCTGGGTGCCGGTTATGTCAATAATGGAGAGAGTTACAAAAGCCAGTTTGAAAAATAGAAAGACGGGAACTGCTCCAAATTGGGTAATCATCATGGTGAGAGCCGTGGTATGGGCAATGTGGTCATATCATGATTTTGTGCATGCCCCCATTTGGGGAAGAGGGGACGGAATGCGCAGTGCATGAATGCATGTTACGCATCTTTACGACTGTTAATGGGGATCTTACATTGTGTGGATAGTTCAAATAATCCCACTTTGAAGGCGACGAAGATGGTCAAAAATGACAATGAAGTATCTTATCAAACTTGGAACCTAGGGGAGGATGAAGAGTCATGTTGATCCAGGTGCCTAGGTATATAATGCGCCTCCGTTATGATGATATATGTAGACAGAATTCTGACTGAAATACCTTGGGAATAAGAGACATAATTTCCACGATCGTTCCATTGCGTGGTTGTGTTACTCCTATCCACTAAAGGGAATTAACAGGCATATTGTCGTTTTACTGATAGAAAGAGGCAAAGCAATCGGACTTCTAAAGGGAACTCTGCTCACAGGTGGCAGGATCAATTGCAAGCCCTATTGTATTAGGCGACTTGGCGTCTCATCTATCTACGTATATTCACCCTTCAAGTAACTGGCTCTATTTTTCTCTCCTCCTGGATACCAATAACACCTTTCACTTGTAAGACATCTCACTACTGTTGTAAAATACCAAGCAGCGGACTTCAATACTCTCCCGGCACTGGGCATCAGTCGCTGCTTCGGGGTTCTCGAAGGCACAATGAGGACACACTAATTTATTAGCAAGTTACCGCGACAGATACAGTCCTTCACGTATTTTACTTACTTTCCGCCACGCCATCCTTATTGTCCCATATTTTGATGAATGTTGCTTCATCTGGGGTTTGCCGGTTTAGGTAATACCACTTTTGATCGGCGGAATGGTTTACTGACACCGTCTGTCCTTGAATTTCGAATCGTTCTTTGTAGATACTGGTGGGATATATTTCTGAGTACCTAATGCTCTGGTAGTCCATTACTGCCAATGCCCAGTTTTCAACCGGGCCATTCAACGGACGCCAAACGCTGAAAAGCTTATCAGCAAGGTTTCTACAATGGGCTGTTCATCTACTCACTTAATAATTTGCGCACGGCCTTGAAGTAATCTATCAGCATCTTCTCCCGCATGGCGCTTGATTCTTCCAATTGCGCCTAAGGTGGACCTAGAAACCCATGAGCAAAATAATGGGCCGAGCTTAATCCTACATACTGATCGCAATGTACCTATACTTTACATTATTTCTTGAAGCTCCAAGGCAGTAGGATTTGACTTACTACAGTAGCTGGTTGTTCTCTACCGTTAGGGTTATCCGTTGTAGCAAGCCTTGGATCCCGCTTTCGGTAGGTATGATCAAATACAATAACCTTGTTAGCACCGGTTTTCTGCTTGACGACGTCTATAATTTCTGGGTAGTATATCTCTTCTACTAGCCCGTTATCTCTTTTTCTGATTGCGTCTATGACTTGAGCGTCAAAAGGTTTACAGCAGTGAAAAGCGAATCCGTTGGTGTCGAGATTGAACTCCCCCTTTTTTAACCTGGCATCGCGGACTAGGACACTATGCTCTTGATTGATGAAATTCGTTCGAGGGAATGATTCTTCTGCTTTGATTCTGACGTATGGTCCATCTTTTTTACCAGCCCATGGTTCCAAAAAGGACATACGGCTTTCAACGATTGCCATTTTGAAATATCACGCAAGTAGTCCGGACGAGGATGGACTTCACAGTCAAATCATAACCTTGGAAAATTAGAAGAAGAAGAACAAGAAACATATCATAATATCATACAGCAGTATCGGGAATCTATCTTACGTCATAGCTACCCGGGGACCGTTGACATCATTTTCGGTACCCATTTTGACCCACTCGGTCCGCACTAAAACCGGGATGCAGACTCGGAACCCGAAGACACCGGAGACCGGCTCTCTCAAATTCCCCAACGTCTTGTCGACCCCGATTGGGGAGATTAGGGAGACTATGCACCGGGTAGTATCTTTCTATTTGCCCCGGGAGCTAAAGCTCGAGTAAAACTCGAGTACTAGCTTTCCAGTCCTCGGGCAGACATAGTCGATACCTACTCCACCGGCATGTACCTAGGTACAGAGCGACAAAGATGTATGATTGACCACGCAGGTAGGGAACCTGTTGATCTCTGAATATGCGTCCCGGAGGCTCGATTTTTGCCAGGTCGTATTGCATGAGGCAGTTTTTCCATTATCGTCACCCTTTGCTTGGACGGTCGAAATGACCTTCCCTCCTCATATCTCCTATTCTACTTCCATAGTTAGGATCACATCCGAACTTAGAGTCCATACCTGACCTCTAAATCTTTTTGTATATCGTCTCCGATACATTGTCAGTGTTCCGGTTCGAGCATAACGAATGGAAGATTACAGCAATATGGAATCAGTGCCCGATCTAGAAAGATCCCCCTTGCTCATATATCACACTCCTAACACCAGCGGTGTAGATCCGTGCGCTCCTACTTCCAAAGTGTCGCCTACGTCTCCCCACTCTACGCCACCACAGAATAAGGTGACCACCAAGGAGCGCGTTTATTATGTTCTCCCCATAGCATTTATAGCGGCGTTTGCTATATCCGCCACTTCTGCGTCCACCGTATATGCATACGCTAGCATCCTATGCACGGATCCAACCCATTGCGAGGACAACGAGCGAAATCGCTACGCCGGTGCCGTTGCTATTGCGACTACGCTATCTAATTCGATCAGCATCGTGGCAATTTGCCTTCTTCGACAGTGGGCGGAGACCAATCCAAAATTAGGGCTGTGTCTATGGTTAATCTGTCGAGGGTTAAGCGTCATAGTACTGTCGGTTGGAGGTAAGATTCCCAGTCCAAACTTCGGCCTATCAATCACGATGACTAGAAGACTAACAAATATTATATCAAGTAATCTTCCACAATATTTACATCGCAATAGCAGGCCGCATATTTGAAGGCTTAGCAACCGACAATATACTGCATTATACTCTGGCTGCTGTCTACGTCCGAGCTGGGGATGAGAGTCGATTTCCACGGTTGATGGGGACCTCATTAGCGCTATACATGATTGGCATGTCGATAAGCCCAGCGCTTGTCACATTGTTACCACATTTCCTATTCAGCTTTCTCTTAGCTTTCACGTTGCTGGGATCCTCACTTTTCTACCTTCTTGCTTTTGTTCCCGGATTGACTCCGGTAACAGAGAGCGACTATGGAGATCACTCTGAGTCCCATCGAGGGAGAGATGCCGTAGGCTCTTTTTCGATTTTTACACCCATCCGATACCTGGTCTATGAACCAACTGCTCTTTTTGCAAGCCTGGCCATCTTCTTCTACAACACCGCACAAGCCTACCTCTTCCCTGCTATCATGGTATATGCGACCTTGAAGTTTGGGTTTACAAGCGTAGAGAACAGCTATATCGTTTCCATAGCTGCGGGTACATCTTCAATTTGCCTATTCACCGTATTTTATATAATCCCATGGCTACATGTTGTGCTAAGCCTACTTGGAGCAGTGGGGACTGCAGGAAATACCTGTAACGCTGACGTTGAAGCAACTGTCAAGACTAGATCTACGGCCTACATGTTCTATAGCAACATGTTCTACGCGGTTCTATCTATGTCTATCCAGGCAGTTACTTTACCTGCCTTCCTAGTGATAAAGACGGAATGGCATATATATGTTTTGATTATTTTGGTTGCTTTGGGACTGGCTGCTCCCAGTTTCATTAAGAGCTATACGGTCGCAATAGCTAGTTCAAAAGATTCTGCTTTAGCTGGGCTAGCTATAATGGAAAGCCTGGGTGGGTTATTCTCATCTATAATCCTAGGCGTTATACAGAGTTCCATAAGCCAAAATAGCGTCTTCATTGTTGCATCAATGTTAGTTGGAGCTGCTATATTATGTCTAGCCGGAAGTTACTTCACGAGGAGATGAATAGAACGTTTGGTATATTTCATCCCAGAAGCACGTTGGTCCCTCCCTCATGAGTTTTCAACGAATGATCTAGTACAGCCGCAAGTCTCTGGAGCCCTTCAGCTAGCTGATCTTCTTGAAGTGCGAAGTTGATTCTCGCCCAGCCTTTCTCGCCCTCGGGAACATGGTATCCTCTTCCTGGCGAGATATTAACCCCGGCAGCTTTGCACCCTATAACAAACTCCGCTTCCTCGTCGTCCTTACTAGCATAAGGAGCTAGCCTTGCGAACAGGAATGGACCCATGTTCCCTGGGATGTACTGGATGCCGCGCCTTTTCAACATCGACGTCACCTTCGCGTATGCGTCGGCCAGGCGTTGAGAATTCAGTGCTAAGAGGCCTGGAAGCTCCTGTGACGTTAGAAGATGGGTAACTGCAATAGCTGTTAGGGATGACATTTGAGTATTTGAGACTAATGCCAACCCGGTTACGAGAGGCTTGTTTTGTTGACTAATGCAGCATCCCTAGTCTAGAGTTAATACGAGGACGAGAACTGGAATGGGAATCAGGGAAGGTAGAAAATAGGGAGATAGTTACCATTCGAAGACCACTAGAACCCAGGTCTTTGCTTACGCTCCAAATTGTATGAACATGTGACAGGTCACAATCCAAAGCTGCCACGTCCAGCTGTAATACCGATACAAAGGGTTCTGGAGTAGGTATATCCGGACTCGAAAAGCGAGACAGGGCATAGATTTCGTCCGAAATAAAATGTATCCTGTGTTTGCTACAAAATTTCAGGATTTCTATGATGAGGCTCTTTGGGTAACACTTGCCGAACGGATTATGCGGGTTTGTGAGGAGTAGTCCTTTGATCGGGTGGGGAGATTCATAAATGGATTTTTCCAATGTTTGGACCAGCCTTGGCGTGAAGGCATCGTCGAAGCTTTCCAGTTGGGTGAAAACCGGTTGGACCCCTGACCTAACATTGAGTAACCAGTCAAACCCGTCTACGCGATGGTTAATATTGATACGACTTATGACAGAGACGCCACACTGCTTACTCCAACAGGGAGTGGGTATCAGTAAACCGTCTCCCGGCTCACAGATGTTATAAAGCAAGCCGTCCAGCGAATAGGCCGCGCCAGGCGCGGTCGCAAGGTCCCCTTTTTGTACGGGAATGCATGGCTTGAAGTAAGTGTTGAAGAATTGTGCTAGTGCCTCTAATAGGTCTGGATCACCTGCAAACCCTGTAGAGTACGATAGGTGCTATGTCCTTATTAGTAGTATACACCTATTAATGGTCATAGAGTCATACCCTAGCGGAGAAACTGTCTTCCACGGCCCTCTTGTAAAACTGCACAAGTTCATTCCGGAGCAGCCAATTTTCGGATGTTCCCATGTCAATGCAAGGGTTTTCCTCGCGCTCCGCAACGGCGTTGCTGATTTTTGGAAATATGGCCGCAACATTTGCTGTACCCCTTGCTGAAAGTCCGTAATCTTCCATTGGATATAAGGCTGTCAAAAAGAGGTTACTATGTGTCTAGAGTGATATGGAGAAGCTCAACATGATTAAAAGAAAAGACGATATGGAAATGAACTGAAAGTAACAGGGGATCCCAGACGTTATTATAGGGTAAAAGGGGACGAGCCCGGTAACCGAAATTGTAAGCTGCTCACCAGCACCCGCAGCCCCTTTTTTTCCCTCCCCATATCAGCCAATGTTTTATGTGCAACTAACGGTTATACCTAACATACTTAAGAGGTACTTATACAATATAACTAGGTACCATAGCGGGGCTCTATGGGTTCGTGGAACGCTTCCAACCCACCTGTAATTATACCATGTATAATAATCATTGAATTCAGACCCAATCGTTCCAACATCGTGGAATGATTCCAAAATGTGGAATGGTTTCGTAAAATAGAACGATTTTGCTATTCACGTGACTTTCACGTGACTTTCACGTGAAAAAGTGGGGTAAAAGTAAAAAAATTAAAAAAAAGTGAAAAGACTGGGCCTCGAACCCACAGCTCCCGCGTTTGTGTAACTATAAACCCCACAATTAATAAGGTTTAAAGTTTAAACGTTTGAGCTAATGGGACGAGGTGGCCAATCTCATCGAATTATTTCGGAATGAAAATTTGTTTGATTTTAGCCCTTATAACCTTTACTTTCGAAAAGGTAAAATTTTAACTTAGAAAAAAAATTTTTTTTTTTCGAAAAATATCATGCGGAATGATTACAAATTGTGGAACGCTACCTACATTTGCGGAACGATTTCACATGCGATTTTAAAATAAACCTTGCTTACATAAGAAACGCCCCACTAATATCTGGATCCAGCCAATCAGAGGCTTTAGATCCGCGGAACGTTCCACTTTTATCAACCGTTCCGACATTGTTAAATCATTCCACGAACCCACATTTTACCGTTATGGTACTTATATATTTTAGTAAAATAAACGTATAATTCGCTTTTAAAGGTTTTTTTAAATAATTAAACGTTAACATTAAGTTTTTTTTACAGTTATAATTATATTACATTTAATGATAAAATATATAAAGTTAATAAATTAAATAATTGGTAATATATTTTACATTTATAACTTATATATAATAAATATGTTTATTTAATTTTTTTAATAAATAATATAATAATATAATTTATATATATTTTATAATTTACGTTTAATTTTAATAAATTATAAACTTAAAAGTTTATAATTTAAATTATATAAATAATTGTTTAATTATTTAATAATTATTATACCATTTAAACGTATTTAATTTAAATTACTGTAATTTTTATTGTATAATTAAATAAAAAGCGGTTTTATTTTTTTAAAATCTTTTTTTTAATATATAAAAAAATGGATTATTAAAGTTAATAATATTAAAGTTATAATAATAGAAAATTTTTAATTTTTTTATACGATTTTTTTATTATTAATATTAATAAAATTATTTATAAAATATCTTTAAATTAAAATGTTTAATAAATTAATAATAATATTAAAATTTATTTTATTTTAATAAATATATATTATAATTATATTAAAATTTTTAATATAACGTTAAAATTAATAATATAAAATTATAAATATAAAATAAAGTTAATATTATTTTAATAACGTATTTTAATTATTATTATTAATAAATAAATAATATAATACAATATAATTTTAAAAAAAAGTTATTATAAAAGTTATTATTTTTTAAATATTTAAATAAGTAAAATTTTTTATATTTTACTAAAAAATTTAAACAATTATAATAAAAAAACTTTTTAAAAAATATTTACTTTAAAAATATAAATTATATATTTAATTTTATATTTATTAAATTATATTTATTAAATTTAAGTAAAATATTTTTTATGTTTATATTATTAAATTTAAATGTTAATTATTTTAGTTTTAAAATTATTATTTTATTTAATTTATTAAAAAAATCTAAAATTATATTAAAAATAATTATTTTTAAATTATTAAATAAAAAATAAATTAATTATTTTAAATAAATTTTGGTTTTATTTATAAATTTTTTAAATTATTACTTAAAAAATTATTTTATTATAAAATAAGTTTATAAAATAAAGTTTATAAAGTTTATTATATTATTAAAAAATAACTTTTAATTTATTAATAATAGTTATAAAAATAAAAAAGGATAATTTAACTTTAAATAATATTATTTAATTAAATTTAATAAATAAATAATTAATGTTTAAATAAAAGATATTAAATTATTTAATAATTTAAAGTTATAAAAAAATATTTTTAAAAAAAATAAATAAAATAATTTTAAAAAAAAATTAAAGTTTTACGTTAATTAAATTACGCAAAAAAATTAAAGCTTAATAAAACAAATAAAATAAAACTTATAATTATATTAAATATTATTTAAAGAAAAATCTTAAAAATATAATAATAAATAAAATAATTATAGTTAAAATTTAAAAAATTTTAAAAAAAATATAAATTATAAAATAACGTTATATTTTAAAATTTAATATTTAAATAAAATATTATATTATTTAATATTAAAAGTTTTATAATTATATTATTATTAAAATTACGTTAAATTTAATTTAATTTTAAAAAATTAAACAAAATTTATATTATTAATAAATTATATTTAATTAATAAATTTTTTAATGTTTTAAATTTAGAATATAATATGTTTTTTATTACTTTTTTTTAAAACTATAATATTATTTTAATTTAAAATAATAATAATTAAATTGTTAAAATTATAATTATTATAAATAACGTTATTAAATTAATATAATAAAAGGAATAAACGTAAAAAATTAAAAATAAAAATACCAAATATGCTTTTATTAATTATTTTAATAAATTTAATAATAAATGTAAAAATAATTTTATATATATTTATTATATAATTATAAAACGTTAAACAATAAATTATAACTTAATAAAATATTTTTAAAAACATTTTAAAAAACGTTTTAAAAATTAGCGTAATAGATTTAAAAATAAGTTTAAAAAACTTTATCTCAAGTGACCTCAGACCAGAGTTTCGATATTTAGTTCGGGGGGATGTACCCCCCCAGCCACACCACCCCCCCAACCAATCACAACCCCCCAAAAAATATCAAAACTCTGGTCTGAGGTCACTCTGGACACGTCCCTATTAAAAATCGTTCCTATTTTCCAAAAACATCGTCAAATCAATAAGATCATTAAAAACAACGATATCAACGCGCTTTTACAGTAAGTAATAATTGATTATACAATCGTATTAATCTTATTATTAGGTCTATCGAATTCCACGCGTTTTAAATCTTTCGGAGTGTTGAAAGTAGCCACAACACCGGTCGCAACACCGGTCGCAACACCGGTCGCAACGCGGTAGCCGCAATACGCAACAAGGCCGTACGTACAGGTATAAAAAAAAAGCCGGGAAGGTTTGGGCAATTGAATAATAGCCCTTAAAGTATTTTATACGTGGTTGCGGGTGTTGTTGTGGTGTTGATGAAGGTGGCCAATATTAGCCGCAACACCGGGCGCAACACCGGTCGCAACACGCGTTGCAAGGCCTGACGTTGCAAGGCCTGATATATAAGAAGGCGATACCGTACGGGTGTATAAAAAGGCAGGAAGGCTTAGATAGCACTAGTAATAGGCTAGAGTTAAAATAGAAAGCGTTTTCCCACATACGTGGTATTAATTGTGGTGTTGATTATGATGTTTTAGAAATCAAGTTCTTTTTGACGTTTTGGCCTGGTATATAAAAACG